ATGTTTTAAATTTTATGGTTCCGTGGCAATAAGATATTCAAGAGAAACTGTAGGCATGTCCGAGCCTGTCTTAGGTTGGGGAAAAGTGTTTGGCTGTCTTACCCATCATTGGGGTCATCTGTTTCATAGGCCTATTACATGATGAAGATTTAACAGAAGCCTCTGTCTTAGGTTGATCAGTCAAACCTTTTCCTCTTACCCATCTTTGACTTTCTGGACCCTCACTGAAGCTCTCTTTTTATCTGAGCAAGGTAGATGCCCAAATTTTCAGAGGACCCTTCCTTAAGGGCCATGAGTACATGTAATGTTTTGCGCTGTATATAAACCTGACTTGAGATAACACAGTATTTATGGTATTTCACATATTAGAGGCCCCATGCCAAAAATATTCAAAACTAAGGTTAGTAATTTTGGCATCTGATCATAAATGTATTTCTCCCAATGCACCAGCAGGTTTCCAAATGTTGGTTTGAGGAAAACGTGAATCTGTTTACCAAAGTCCTGCAGACAAGCTTAAGTCCATGGAATATTTGAGTGACTAGTCTAAAAACTTTTGAGATGTCTCATTAAATCACCAGTCCCATTAAATCCTTGTTCTGGATAATAAAATTTCCGCTTGTGCAGCAAGACACATCCTGGAGTTTTCTCTGCTGCTTCAGTGTTGGGGTCCCAATCCGGTCTCCTCAGTGGAAACCCAGCTTCAAGCTGTTCAGGGATAGTGGTGGGTCTATAAATGTACCTGTAACCATAAGTAGGTGGAGCAGAAGAGAAGGGAGAATATCTGGACCAAAAGGTTATTATCATAAACAAAATACTGGAAAACCTGCATGGTCAAACAATATGAATACATTTTGTATACCAGAAAAGTAGCAATAATGTCTCCTCAGTGGAAACCCAGCTTCAAGCTGTTCAGGGATAGTGGTGGGTCTATAAATGTACCTGTAACCATAAGTAGGTGGAGCAGAAGAGAAGGGAGAATATCTGGACCAAAAGGTTATTATCATAAACAAAATACTGGAAAACCTGCATGGTCAAACAATATGAATACATTTTGTATACCAGAAAAGTAGCAATAATAATTATTATAATTATAGGAAAACTTAGGCCCTGTAATGTAGCTTTGTGTCAATAGGATCTTCCTCTTTTTTTTTTACAGAAAATATTATATTTTGAAGATAACCATCATAAACATGTTACAATAACATATTTATAATTCAGACCTTTGATGATAACCAATATAGACATTTTTAACAACATATTTAACAAGGCATATCTTTTTATAAGGCTATGAAAATTATTTTGGTGGCTCCCATTAGTGAACAAAGATCAGAATAAATTTTCTGAGCAGCTGCTTCTTTATTTACCAACAGGAGCATATCCAAACTTAAAGGTTATATTTAATTATCTTTTAAGTTTTTTATTTGATCCTATAAAGCCAGGTTGTAGAAATCAACAATCTATTTGTATTTGACGTCATTAACCAACAAGCAAACATAAATAAATGAATTCCACACACCTTCCCTATCTACTTAGGCCTTCTGGTCTTGTTAAAAAACAGGTAAAGAAAGATATACAAGATGAACATACAAAAACCTTTCATGTCAAAAGTATAACTCTTATAGCTTTCCTAATGTTTTTCTGTCTCATTTACTATTAACCTTCTATAACAAACTTCAGCTTAAAGTGTCCTTTTTCTGTTTTCAGATAGTTACATCTTAAAATTTGAAACTATTCATACTATGATTGTTTTTTCTTTGCCTTAATTCCTTTCTCCCTGAATAAAGACTGAATTACTGTGCTAAATTTCATCTTGGATCCTATGTGCCCCATTGGTACCTGCTTCTCCAAGGATTTTCCCTGCCGGCCATTCCAGACAGTGGTGTCCTCCTTGTTTCAACTCGGCTGAGTCCTTTTTGACAGCAGGCTTCTCTGATTGCTCACCGATTGCTGCTTCAATTTCAGGTCCCTGTTCGCGAGCCAGCGACTCAGAGCACTGTCCAGCAGTGTCTCAAACCTGAAAGAGCAGCGGGGTGGAGATGGTACAGAGAGAAAGGAAGGACGCCAAGACAAGAGTCTGATCAAGGCGACATTTATTGCAGGCAAGCATCAGCCTTTTAAAGGCACATCAACAGGAAGCATCTGTGTAGGAAGACAAATATATTTACTCTCAGAGTTGTTTTTGAGCCTAACCTAACCGCCTCCATGTTAGCCTCTGAGTCACCTCACTGGCACAGACGTGCCGTCGCCTGTACTAACAGCCTTGCTCAACAAATGACCTAATCTGTTACATAACAACTGTATCTCATCATGACTGTTACTGTACAATATGTTTCTCCTTTATCATCTTGTGATTAGCTACTTCCTCTTACAATTTTGTGGTTTTTGCCTTTATATACTGCTTGTGCCTGCAAATAAACGAGACCTTGACAAGCCTCTGCTTGGTCTCCTTCTTTCTGCGCCTCTTTTGTCCCATTTCCAGGTATCTCCCCTTCTTGAGCTCTGCTAATTACAAGCCCTGCTGGCTGGGGCACACCTGACTCCTAGAGATAACATCAGATCTTTAACAGGAAGCACCTGACTCCTACAGCTAACATCAGATCTTTGGCTATCCGAGTTTCTCCCGTGCAGGGTCAAAAACAAGTTTAACACGTGCAGTCCTTAAAAAGGAACAAATGTTAACAAATGCTAATTAGGAACATCCTGACCACACATTGTGTCAATGACTTGATTATAAAGAAAGAAGTTATCTTTCAAAAAGCCAGTGGGCCATGACTGGCTCCCACAAACCATGTTTCCCACAATCAGTCATTCATCTAAAAGAAGGGAGCCATCTGCTCCTATAGGACTGCATCAAAAACAAAACAAAACCTGGAGTCATAGTTTTTGAAATCTTGTTTACTTAATATGCTGTCTGTAGGTACAGTGGTCATAACATTTGTGGTTAGTGTGTTGGGGTTACCTTTGCATGCAAGCTGCTATTCTCTGCCCATTGATCTTTGACACGCAGGCTTTTCTGAGAAAGTTTACATGTAACTTGTCTACTAGAAGACTCTCTGAAGTGCTGCGCATGCAGCAGCCTTAATTGATACTGCTCAGTAGGGCAGCCATCAGCTCCATCTTTTTCAAGTTTTGTCTCTCCTTAGGGACCCTGTTGGCAGAAGAATCCTTGCAGTGCAGCCTGAATGTTTCAGGAATATGGCTGAGATATAAGCAATTCCTCTTGTTCTATTAACATAGAAGACTGAGTGATCACCACACACTCACAAAGAAAAGTCATGTAGAAGCCCAGCAATCTCGCCTAACTCAAATGAATTGTCTAGATGCCAACTCTTTGTAAAGTACTCTTGCAGGGTTTGGAGTATAATAATGAATAATACCCTGACTGTGCCCTGGAGAAACACATTATCTTATAAAGGCAAATAACAATGGAAACAAACTATGTTGTTGAAAATTAGAGGTGCTGCAAATAGTAGAAGTTGCTCAGAAGAGGAAGTACTTCTATCTGAGGAGATTAGATACCCCAGGAAAGAAAGACTGTATAAGATGAATTTTTGGCTGAATTCATGACTTTTGAAGGTTGAATAAGAACATTCCGTGGGCAACAAGAAGTTTAGGCAAAGGGATTGGAGAAGAAAATAAATACATATATGTGCCTTGTTTGGGTGGATCTCAAGTATATCAGCATAAGGGCAGCCCTAGATATAAGGACAAGGTACAGGTGATGCAATGCTTCTGATAAGAAGCAAAGATCTTTGGACTTCATGAAACCATTTAGCTTTATTGATTTTTCTACAAAATATGTCACAAGACCAGAATAAGTATGTTCATGACTCAGCCAATGGGTAAGATAGAGAAGCACTGGACTCTGTAACTGGGGTGGAGAGCGTAGAGCCCTGCTACTTGAATGCACATCCAGCCCCACCTCCTTTCCCACATAAACGTTTGTGAAGATTCTCACTGAATCACAACCAGAAGGGAAGGACATCCCTGGAAGCACAGTTCCACAAAGTGCCACACAATCCACTGGAAGGAAAACTCAGAAGAAATAATTGTTGAAGGCAACTGGTAATGGACCTGATCCCAAACTATTCTATGGAAACCCGGGTTCTCCTGGCTATCTGCCTAGTGCTCCTCTATCTGTGAGTAACTGTCCAGGCTCCTCACCTCTGTGACTACAACTTGGGTTACAAATCAGGCCAGTCTTTCTCTCATCTGTTTCAAAAATCAAAAGTGAAAATGACGGGGAACTTGTTTAAGAGTAAGAAACCTAAGGAATTATTGCTCATCTTATGCAGAGCCTTTGAAGGAATTAATAAGCACTCCCTTCCTATCAAACTCCCAATTTCTATGGCCTGGAAGGGTTAGTGACGTTACTTGCTTTGGGGAATGACCTGAGTGAGTCACAATTTGGGCCTGAACTATCTAACCAGAATTTAGTGAAGGCATATTACATCACTGGTTAACATGTGCAGTGAGAAGCACTCTTATACACCTTCTCAGAATTTGGGAATAAAATTTCTGCATAAGTTTCTGTGCAATTATCTTTCTGTTCTCAGTCTATTGAGAGATGAGCAGGAAGACAGCCCCTTATTGACAGAGGTTCTTGTTTTCTGTACCCACCCCCCAGAACCACTTACAAAACTCTCCAAGATTACTCCAGAACTCATGACAGGTTCAAATGAAATTCTTGTCTCTCTTCTGATATCCTTCCATAGAACTCCCCTCCTCCAAACAATTCTATTCTGCTACTATGCAATAAATTGAACTCTTTAAGTGCAAATGCTTCTTTTGAGTAAAGAACTTCCAGATATTTTGAACTTTTATTATTTTCCTTCCTGTCCCTGGGAGTTTAGCATCAGGGAAGGGTTATAATTATTCCCTGATGTAAAACTCTACTGACAGCCTCAGAATCCAAGAGTCAGTGAGCCAGCTTGTGTTAAAAATATTTTTTCCTGGGGCTGGGGATTTAGCTCAGTGGTGCCGTCACCTGTCTCACAAGTGCAAGATCCTGAGTTCGATCTCCAGTACGAAAAAATATTTCCCTGTAAATTACTGTACAAGGCATGAATCAAAACTATCTAATACAGAAGTTCCTGTCCATGGTGGGATTCCAGGTGGAGAGAGGTGTTATTTTGGAATATGGGTAGCAGAAGCTCCCCTCACATCACATTTGATTTCTGTCTCAATTTACATGTAAAATGATAGATGTTCATGATGAAATGAAAATAGAAAATAGAAATATAAAGTGAATCTTTGAAGTGAAAGTAATTTAGGGCAGTATGTTTTCCACATAATAATTCTTTACAGTTCATTAAATTGTGTTATTCTACTCAGTACTAAAATTTCTTTGACATAGTACAAGATTTGATTTAGAATATAGTGAATTTTTAAAATTTTAAAACATTTCTCATTGTAAAAGACACACTATCATTAATTCTCCTCAGTATACTCACTCTCATTTCAAATACATTTAGTCCATGATTCTTGTCATTTTTTCAGCAGTTTTGGAAGTCCTTTTTATGTATCTTTTTATGGCTGACTCAATGTCCTGAATGAATTCAAAATATGAATGGCTATTTCTGTCCAAAAAAAACCATTCAATGTGTCTTCAACCACTGTATTTACCTGATCTGGCACTGTGCCTTTTCTAGCTTTTCCCTAAAGTTCAAAGGACAGTGAAAGGTAAGAATTTTTAATCAATTCAGGATATCAAGGAAGCCATGAGAGCACAACGAAAAACATGCATGAAAGAGAACTCCAAAAGTGCTTCCGAAAGTGGCAAGAACAATGGGATGAGTGGGGTCAAAGGTGGACAAATATTTTGAGGGGGATTAATGCCAATTTGTCTCATTTAATTTTTTAAAATTTTATTGGTACAATTTAGATATACACACAATGATCACATTCATCAGAGGGAATTTGTATCTGTACATGATGTATCTGATTCCTCTTTCTTTCCCATTCCCCTCATCTCCCTCCAACCCTACTTCCCCTCTTTATTTAAAAAAGCCCCATTCCAATGTGTCTTTTAATGTAATAAATTTTTTAAATTGTAAACATTCAGCATATATTTTGATCATCACTTGTACATCCTGTTCCTTCAGAAAGTGAAAATAGGTCTATTGGGTGCAGTGTTTATGACCAGAGGTATTCTTAAAACGACCTCATATTTTTAGAAAAATGCCAAGAATATAAATCCAAGATGCAAACATCTATGTCTGTGTCATAGACTACTATGTTTTAAAATATACCTGTGCAGCAGTTTATTTTGCTTTATGTGTTTCTTTATATACCTGATCACTAAATTGTCTTAATTTCTCATTGTCAAGGAGAGCCAGTGAAATAAAAGATACCCACGTAGGAGTTAGGAGCAAGTGACAGAACATTGCTCTCCTTTCCCCTCAAGGCAGAACTACTAGAGATACCATGTGTACTGGCCCATACTGGAAGTCACTAGGGAGTAGGTGTGTTGGCATCATATGTATTTCCTAAGTTAACACAAGTGACTGAAATGACATTGAAAAGTTCTACCCCAAATCTCTCAGAAGCATTCAAACTCAAGTTTCTAGATTTTTATCAAGTACTCACTCTCACAGTGGGAGTCTAAGGGTTTCAGCAATCTTTGTGATTTGGGGGATTTTTCAGGGAATGTGAGAGAGAAGGTAATGAGCGAGTGTACTTGTAGCTGTGGAGATTTTATTGTCACTTATTTATTACGTGTTATCTTCTTTGACTGACCTCCAGTTCCTGAATCTGTAACTAGTGACTCATATATTTATATAGTCACAGTCCCTGTACCTGGCTTTCCCTATCACCTTGTAGATACGGGACCTCTTCACATGGCCTTTTTAAGAAGTTGGGAATTCCTGGGCCAAAACCTCTTCCCTTTTTTGGAACTATTCTGTCTTATCGTAAGGTAAGTACTGTTTGTTTTCCTTCTTCTACTTTTTAGGGTTGTGCAGAGAAGCATGATTCCATTAGTTAAAAAAAGAAAAAACTGCTCCTTGGCAGGAAACCATGACATATTCATTTTTCAGGAAGTGTTTTGTGGGCCTGATTTAGAGCATGGCCAGCTTTTTTCCTGGGCCTCAAATCATAACTCTTTGGCGCCCAAGTTTGCCTCAATTGATCAGCTGAGCTGTCCTGCACATCAGTACTCCATGTTGAGGACTACATATTAGACTTTATGAGTGTCAAAGGTAGGTTCTATTTTTACCCTGTGCAGATTCCAAGAAGGTACATAAAGACCTCAAGGAACTTTTTTGCATAGTTAAAAGATCACAGCTGAAACTAGAAATGGAAATGTGTGTTTGTGATTTTCAGAAGTAAAAACTCAGAACTTGTGTGTCTATATGTAGAGGTGGCATCTCTCCAAATTTCCGTCTTGAGTGGGAGTACTAGGAGGAGATTCTGCTTTGACTTCATTAACTCATGTTTTCGCTCAACAATATGACTGAGACATAAATTTAATGACAGATATCACTAGTGGCTTTTTAGGGGGGAGGCAGAGACTTGAATATTTATTTAGTTATTTATATTATAAAGTAGTAGGAGTAGATATTAATAAAGAAAATATAAAAGGCATTCTATGAAAGAAATTTTCATGAAAAAATAATTAGAGAATAACTGTTAAATACATTACATAACAATGTTAAATACAATATGTATCATGATCTTAAAAGAATATATTTATATCTATTATATATTTTGGTCTTTATGTATACCTTCAGTTTCTTGCACCAGAGAAACAATATAATATTTACACATGTGTGTTCCATTTATTTCACTTAAAAGTATGGTTTTAAGATACATCCATTTACCTAGAAATGTCTCAAATTTACCTTTCTTTTGGCTGAATAGTAGTATTCCATGTATTTAAAAAAAACACATCTTTTCCATCCATTCATCAGTTGATGGGCATTTGGGTTGTTTCCAAGATTTAGCTTTATTTTTTTTTTTTCATTTTTTCGAGGCAGGGTCTCTCTTTGTAATTCAGGCTGGCCCTGAACTCACAGTGTAGCCCAGGCTTGCCTCAAACTTGCCACAATCCTCCTGTCTCAGCTTCCCAAGTGCTGGGATTACAGGTGTGTACCACCATGTCTGGCATATGATTTAGCACTTACAAAATGTGCCTCTATAAACGTGGATGTGCATATAACATTGTGGTATGATGCTTTTAATTCTTTTAGGAAGAGACCAAGAAAAGGAATAGCTCAGTCAAATGGGAGTTTTTATCCTAGTTTTTTAAAGAATCTTTACACTGCTTTCCACAGTGGCTTCATCAGTCTATACTCCCACCAACAGTGGAGAAGGGTTCCCCCACAGCCCCACCAGTATTTGTTGTTGGCTGGTTTCTTGATAATAGCAATTCATTTTGGAGTGATTTAGAATCTCAGCATTGTTTTAATTTGCATATCTCAAATAACCAATAACTGGTGTTTTCAAAATTCTAAATAAGCTAGAATTCAAAAAATAGTTTATAAAAATCAATGAAAAGGATGCTGAATGAGGAAGTAAAAGAGCTTGCTTGCTCCTGGGAAACTCACTTTCCTCAGCTTTGGTTTCCACACATGCCCACAGAGGAAATAATGCCAAGGTTACAGGATTTCAGAGACATCACAAGAGAAAGTAGAACAAACACTCCTAAAAGAGAAGGAATTCCTGTAATTAATAGACAAGGAGATACTGTTTTCTTTCAGATATCTCTGAATAAGATCTTCCCTCCAACTGCCAGTGAGGGATATTAACCTGAATTTATGGGATTCCAGTTATTTGTGTCTATTAGATATGTGGTAACATCTAATATTTAGCACAATAATTAAATTTATTTTTACTTCTCTTTCCAGGGTTTTTGGGTTTTTGACACAAATTGTTATATAAAGTACAGAAAAATGTGGGGGTGAGTATTCTGGAAACTTGCATTTGGTTATCATGTTAGGGTGAAGTTCTAGTGCCTGAGGACAGTGTCAGCCCAGAGTTCTTGGCATGTAACTGTCTGTTATAAGATTTTGGAGGCTCATCTGGCCAAGGCTCCAATACATCACAAGAGTTGAAGTCCACAATCTGAATTAGACAGAGAACATTGCATGTTATGACTTTTCTCCAGGCTTTGATTGCCCTGGGACTGTTAGCCTTAGTTTCTAATGGTTTTGTTTCCTCTAGTCTCCATTTTTACTTTCTTTAGTCCTCTTTAATTGCATTATTTGAAGCCTTAATATTGTATACTTTCAAATGCATGGCCTTCTTTATGTTGATTTCCTTTTAATTTAATGCTGAAAGGAAAAGTTTAATAAGCTCTGTTTTCCTGCCACAGGTTTTATGATGGTCAACAGCCTGTGTTAGCTATCACAGATCCAGATATGATCAAGACAGTGCTGGTGAAAGAGTGTTATTCTGCCTTCACTAACAGGCGGGTAGGCATCCATTTTTAAACATCTTAGTATTTACTTTTTAACTCAATTTTATCATGAAATAATAATAAATTCACAGAACATTGTCAAAAGAATAAACCAGGAGGTTTCATACAGCCTGTATACTGTTTTGCCCAATGGCAGTGTCTTTCATAAGTATAAATTTAATATGCACTTGTAACAGTCCTAATTGTAAATAGATACAATCCATCCTTTGCAGTTTCTTGTGCTCTTATTGCCTGTGCGTCTGTGTGTATGCTTTTAGCTGTATGCAAATTCATCACATGTGCACATATGTGTAACCATCAATGTAGTCAACGTGAAGAACTGGTTCTTTACTATGAGGCTCTCTGCTGGTCCATTAGAATTATGACATGTAGCTCATCTTTCCTCTTAACATGAAACTTTTCACAGCAATTGTCCTCTTTTGGAGGACCCAAATACATCTATTTCTTTTTTCCTGATTGTGCTTTTGTTGGCACTTCTGTAACTTCTTTACCTGAACCTTCTTTGCTACTGTTTTTCTGTCCTAAATATTACATAGTTACATGGTTTACATTTACATATATGATCTGGTTAGTATTACCTGTTTTATAATGTATGAGGTTTGGATCAAGTTTCTTTTCTTTTAGGCCCATTTGCATCACAATTTTCCAACACTGTCTTTGGGAAGGTTGCTCTCCTTCTGCTGAATCACATTTGTACCACTGTCAAAAATCACTGGGATCTGTGTGTGAGGATCTATTTCTCATTTTCAATTATGTCCCATTTAATCACTGTGCCTGTTCCTCCTCCTGTACCACCACTGTTATTATGACAACTATACACTGAGTCAACATATGCAGAATGGTTCTTCCCATCTTATTTTATATTTTTCTGAACATTTTTACCTATTCTTTTTTCTTTGCCTTGTCATATAAATTCAGAATAAACTTTCTATTTCTACAAGGAAAATTGCCAATATTTCGATGGGTTAAATTTTATTAATAGGTACCTTTGCAAAGCATCATTATCTTTAATAGATTCATTTTGTTAATCCATGACTGCGATGTACCTCTCCATTCCTTTAGGATTTTCTTTATTCCTTTCATCAACATTTTGTAGTTTTCAACATACAGGCCTGTTCATGTTTTTCCAGGATTATATTTAAAATATTTCATTTTCTTTGAATTGATTAACAGTAGAAATGTATTTTTGTGTACTCCCAATTTATCTTAGAAATGAGGCCAGTTTTTGTGTGCTACCTTTCTATCCTAAAACCTTGGAACTCATAAGTTCCACAGATTTTTGTGTATTACATTGATTCTTAGAATATTTTTTCCTTTTCAAGCCATGTAACTTTTTTCTTGCCTTATTGCAACAGTTGAATATTTAGTTCAACTATGATGCTTGAGTAAGAGTGTTTAGAATGTATATTATAAAGGATACAATCTTTAATCTTCTTTATTTTACCCAATTTTACTTGATGCATCGGCTTTTGAGAATTTCTGTAGACTTCCTATCTATACTAAAATTTTTGTTTAATATGTATTGTTTAGATATTATGAGATTTAATATACTACTTGCATTCATCAAGAAATTCAGCCTCCCTTTAGACACCCTCCACAGCTTCTTCCAAACCCATTGTAATCACTATCTTACATTTAAATGACTGATATTTTAACGTGTCTTTCTGGGTCTAGCTGACTGAGGCTTTTTTTGAGTTGTTTCTGATTTTAGGGTAAAAGCATATAGTGTTTCACCAGTAAGTGCCTTGTTAGTGAAAGTCGTGCTTTCCATAGAATTGTTTATTAAATTGAGGAAATTTCCTTCTTAGTCTTCTTAATTTTTGTTATGAATAACTATTGGAAGTGTCCATTTTAATACAGAATATATTTTTAGATCATGGTGGTAAGTTTGAAGGAGTTTGCATTGATTTGTCAGCTTCAAGGTGGGAGAAGAATCATCATTCTTTTTTCATCTGTCCTTGGAGGAAAAAAGTTAACAGAAATAACTTTCACAAAATTATCTTGTTTCTCCAGATTAACAGTTCAAGTCCTAATCCTTTAAGTATTAAGTATAAATATTTATAAAATCACCATATCTAGGCTTTCCATCGTCAAGGTGCTCATGTCCTATATAAACATAAAGACAGAACTGATCTAAGGCAACCTGCAGGTGTCCAATGTATCTGACAACTTTTACTTATCTATTTCCACTTTGCTCCACCCAGGAGAATGTGGTAGGTTTTTGTCCTCTCTGTTACCTGGAAGGAGAGTTTCCCAATCATGTGGAAATTTTGCAGGTGTTAAAGTGACTAAAGCACCTCCCAGAAAACTAATCATTTGTAAGAAACATTTATTCAGTGTCTGATATAGGGCCAGTCACCTGACATACAGCCAGTGAGTAGTTGTTAAGCATTGATACATTTCTACAAATTCTTCTGTGTAAATCTCCAAAACTTATGTAGGGCAAAATATCTTTTCTTTGGACTGCAGTCTTTTGGTCCAGTGGGATTTATGAAGAAAGCCATCAGTATATCTAAGGACGAAGAATGGAAGAGAATAAGAACATTGCTGTCCCCAGCCTTCACTACTGGGAAACTCAAGGAGGTAATAAAACAAGAGGACTTTTAACAGGAAACTTAAACAATGAATCTGCAGACCTATAGAAGTTAAGAGCATAATGGTTTTCCAAGGGTGATGCTCTGAATTTGAACTTTGAAAGGTGGCAGTTTATCTTTATGCTTTGCAGTATATATTATAAGATTCAGTATTAGGACATAAAAGATGCCAATAGCTCATTCATAGACATACATCTACCATAATATACATGGCCACACTAATAGGTTTTTAAATAATGTTTATTACAGAGTCAGTCTATCAGAATGAAATGCCACCCAGGATATCTACTTCTGGCAAAGACAGATCTGTTTTCTTAGAAAAGATTAATTCTAGAAAAGGAAGGATATCTACTAGGAGTTTTACATGTTATTTTTATTGATTTAGTAATCCTCCTCTAATTTTTACTTGAGATTTCAATTAGTAAAATTCTTAATTTATATATATCCCTATCATCTTTCTCAACAGATGGTCCAATTAAACTTTTTAAAGTAAAAAACCCAGATTCACTATAAATGACAATTATGGCTTCATCCTTGGGCAAGACATAGACTGTAGGGCTTGAGTATCCTCATGTACTTAAGTGGTGGTGTGTTTTTGTTTTGTGCTTAGATGTTCCCCATCATTGAGCAGTATGGAGATGTGCTGGTGAAAAATCTGAGACAGGAAGCCAAGAAAGGTGAACCTGTCTCCATGAAAGAGTAAGTAGCTTTTCACACCAGAGAAACTATTTGGTATTTACACATGTGTGACTTATTTACTTCACTTAGGAGTATATCCTCGATATGTATCCATTTTGCTATGAATGAATCTAATTTCTCATTCTTTATGGCTGAGTAGTACTCCATTTTATAGAAAAACCACATCTTCTTTATCCAGTTTGCAACTGATGGGCAAATGGGCTGTACATAAGATCCTAATGAGATAATTGACCATGTGAAATAGGAATAAAAGGGCTAAAGGTGTAGGGAAAATGGGAAAGGTAATAAGGGAAAAGAAAAAATATGACAAAATGAAAAAATGTAAATAAAGTGTTTGTAAATGGGGAGGAAAGGAGGGGGTGAAGGGAGGGCATGGACAAGGGGAAAAATGAGAACAAAGACCTGTCATGTAAAGGTACAAGATCCCAATAATGAACGTAATTGTACTGTGTACCTTAAATGTACCAATAAACTCAATTTAAGATTTAGTACTAGTGCACCAGCTGGCCTTCTGAACAGTTATGAGAGTCTCCTGCAGCCTGCCAGAGAGCTGAAATTTCTGCTGCTGAGTAACTCCAGAAGCCAGAGAAAAGCACCAGTGTTGTGTTAAAGTTTCTATGGGCCATCCAAGAAGGCACATCTTCCAAGAGAAAGTTGGGAATTTAGGGGAAAATCTTCCCCATATTTATAAGGATCAAGATTAAGTTAGCTGCTTAATCATGTTTTTGGCTCTTCTGGAGGATAAAATGTATAGTTTAGGAAACAAAATACAGTCATGTCAAACTTGTTAGTGTAGAAGGTAGGAAGTGGTAGCAGGAAAGGCACTTTTAGTTATTGGGAGATCATTCATGGGCCACAAAAATGACAATGTAGAAATTAACTTAAATCTCTTCACAAGAGAGATTTATAGAGATTGCCATAAAAGTGGAACTATTAAATGTTCTCATCAATTCTTGTTCTTTTAATGTCAGCCTGGAGAGGTTATGGGTCAGGCAACTACAACATTTATGATGGAAAATTTGGAATTACGAAAGAGTCATGAGTAAATTGAGATTGCACTGTGCTCACTAGAGACATGTGGTTACTTAAGTGTGGGATCCTACCAATCCAAAAAGGAGGAGAGCTGGGGATTTGGCCCAGTGGTTGCACTGCCTACCTCGCAAAAAGGAGAGATTTACTATAGTTTTAAATGAAGAATAGTCTTGGTTTCCATATTCTGCAGGAATGATTCTGCCCTGAAGGCAACTCAGATTCCTAGTGTAGGGGAAGAATAGGTCTATCAGGAGCTTGAACAAAGGATGTGGTCAAGATGGATGATGCTCCTAGCAACTCAGAACAGGGTGTTACTGTTGTATGATGTGTGAAGGACAAGCTATGTTCACAGACTACGATGAATCAAGCCCTAGATTCATGTCACCTTTCTTGTTTCCTCTAGGAAAAGTCAATTACTCCACCCTTGTCCTGATGATGTATGGTGTTTGTACATCCAACTCACATCACTGTAATTTATCGGTATTCATCAGTTTAAATCACCCTATGTCCCTGTCACCCCTAGCAAAAGGGGAGTTGCATCATTGGCCCTCGATAAATACTAAACAAGAGTGAGGGGAACATAGATTGCAGACTGTCCAACAGATAGTCCTGACAGGGTGTGGGACTTATATCTTTCCTGGTCATAAGAATTTACTCCCATGTCTTGCTCAGTAAGTAACAGAAGGATGGCAGAAAAGTGGAAATTTTAATTTTTCATGTCTTTCTCTACTCAGCATCTTTGGGGCCTACAGCATGGATGTGATCACTGGCACGTCATTTGGAGTGAATGTCGATTCCCTCAACAACCCAGAGGATCTGTTTGTGGGAAAAGTCAAGAAGCTCTTAAAATTTGGTATTTTTGATCCACTCTTCCTCTTAATAAGTATGTGGACTACTGTTTCATTCTCTATCTCTTTTTAAATAACAGGTTGATTTTTTTATTCACATACCATACTACTTCCCCATTTAAACTAGAATTTCATGGGGTTTTGTCTTTTCTTTTCTTTCTTCTTCTTGTTCTTTTTTTTTTTTTTTTTGGTAAATTTAAAAATTATTGTTGCCATCAGCACTGCCAATTATAGAATACTTTTATCAATTTAAAAACCTGTACTTTGTAATTATCAACTTTCCTATCCTCTTCTGGCTTAGGCAAATATTAATTTCTTTTCTGATTCTGTTGATTTGCCTTTTTTGGACATGTCATATAAATGTAACTGCTCAATACACAGCCTTTTGTGGTTACTTCTCTCATTTGTCACTGTATTCTCAAGTTTCCTTCACCCTGAAGCATGCATCAGTGTTTTACCTTCTTTTAAACCCAAAGATTGTCTCTTTGCACAGACATGGCACATTCTATTGATCCATTCATCACTTAACATACATTTGGATTATTTTCATCTTTTGGCTATTGGGAACATCCTTTGGCTATTGCTGTGGATGTTCTTCTACAAGTTTGAACTTGAAAAATATTGTTTAATTATTTTTCCACTTTATTTTTAATGTTAGTGGCTCACATTTGTTGTATAGAATAGTGAGCTTTATTTCAACATATTTGCATATGCATATAACACACTTTGATTAATTTAACTCTCCCATTACCTCTTCCTCTCCTCTACTCTCCCTTGAATCCCTTCCACTTCCCTATTTCTCTCCCATCTATTTTCCTGTCATTTCTTCTTTCTTTTTGTAAACATTTTTCATATTTTTACATATGGGAAAAAATGTGTGATAGTTGACTTTCTAATTCCAGCTTATTTTGTTTAACACGATGACCTCCAGTTTCATCTATTTGTCCACAAATTGTGGGATTTGACTTCATCATTTTTATAAACAAAAATATTCCCTTGTGCATATATACATATTTTCTTTAGCCATTCATCCATTGACAGATACCACAGTGTCTGTCAGTTTAATTTATTGTAGATTTGCCATAATAAACATGAATATGCAAATATTACTGTAATCTGGTAACTTTAATCATTTTGAGGATATACTGAGGAGTGATATGGCTGTATCAACTGGTAGCTGTAATTTTAAAGAATCTTCATACTGACTTTTTTAAATTCATAAGTCTATTGGTACATTTTAGGTATACATTGCAATTGCATTCATCATTAGAAATTTGTACCTGGACAAGATATATCTTGGTTCTTGTTTTTTCCCATTCCCTTCCTTCCCTTCCACCCCAACCCCTCCTTATTTACAAAATCTTTGCTTTTATTTTTTCCTTCTGTTCTCAAATTTCTTTCTCTTCTTTCCTCCCCACCCCAATTTACCTCCCTGTTTTAACTTTTTCTTCCCATTTCACAATATCAATTATACATTTTGGTTCTCATTTATACTTTCAGTTCCTCACACTGGAGAAACTGTTCAGTATTTGCACATGTGTGTCCTACCTGTTTCACTCAAGATTATAGTCTTAATAGGCAATCATTTAGCTATAAATGTCACACACTTAACCTTCTTTTGACTGAATAGTACACCATTATACTTTTAAAAAATCTTTTTATCCATTCATCAGTTCATGGGCATTTGGGTTGTTTCCAAGATTTAGCTATTGTAATAGCTGTGCTGCTATAGACCTGGTCATGCATATATTGCTGTGGTATGATCCTTTTAATTCTTTTGGGTAGATATCCAGAAGGGGAATAGCTGGATCAAATGGGATTTCTAATTCTAGTTTTTTGAGGAAGCTCCTCACTGATTTCCACAGTGGTCACACCAGTCTATACTCCCACCAACAGTGGAGAAAGGTTCCTTTTCCCCACAGCCCTGCCAACCTTTGTTATTGGTTGATTTCTTGTTAGCAGCCATTCTTTCTAGAGTGAGATGGAATCTCAGCATTGTTTCAACTTGCTTGACCAGTGGTGTTAAGCATTGTTTCATATGTTTATTTGCTTCTTCTACTTCTTCCTCTGAGAAATTCCTCTGTTCATTTCAGATGCCCATCTTTGGACTGGGTCTTTAAACTTGGGGGACCAATTTTTTAAAGTTCTTTATATATTCTAGATAGTGGTCCTTTATCTGAAGAAGAGCTGGTAAAATTTTTTCCCACATTGTGGGTTATATCTTTGCTCTGTTGTGATTTCTCTTGCTGTGCAAAAGATTTTTAATAAGACAAGATCCCAGTTGTTGATCCTTTGTGCTAGTCCATGTGTGATTGAGATTTTGTTCATAAAGTCTTCCTATACCAGTGTCTTCAGAAGTTCTACCTCACCTCTCTTCCAGCCAGCTTAGTGTTTCAGCTTTAATATTTAGATCTTTAATCCACTTTGATTTTAGTTTAGTGTATGGTGAAAGATGGGCATCTAGTTTTAATCTTTGGCAAATTGAAATCAAGTGTTTCCAGCACCATTTATTAAAGAGGCTATCTTTCCTCCAGTGATAATGGTTGGCTTCTTTGTCTAAGATTAGTTGGCTGATTATATCTGGAGTTGTTTCTGCATCTTCTAATCTGTTTTACTGATCCTCGGGTATGTTTCTTTGCCAGTACCATTCTGTTTTTATCACAGTAGCTTTGTAGTATAGTTTCAAGTTGGGGATTGTGGTATCTGCTGCCTTGTCTTTGTTACCTACAACTACTTTTGCTTTGAATTTAAAATATTACAATTTATTATCAAAGGTGAGACCATGAAAGCTTACTGCCTTGATTCTTTTGTGAGAGTTGCATACTTTTACATCATATTTTTAGGTGCTTTGTTTATTTTGAGCTAGGTTTTGTATGCAGCTGAAGTAAGAGGCAAATTTGTTCTTTTGCATGGAACTGACTTTCCAGTTGGCCAAGCACCTTTTTTTTGGAAAAGAACATATTCCCCAAATCAATTGATTGTCATGATGCCTTCCTCAAAATCCAACAAATCATATGTACTTATGTTTATTTCTGTACTCCAAATTATATTTCATTTATTTAATTTTCTGCTTGTGCCAGTACCATACTGTCTTCATTTTTATATCTTTATGGCAAATTTTAATATTGGAAATCATGAATCTTACAGATTCATTCTTCTCTTTCAATATAGTTTGGACCTCTTGAAATGACTTGAGATGTTTGCCCCAAAATTTTGGGCTGTCCATTCCATATGATTATTAAAATTAAATTGTCATCTTGTACAAAGCAACCAGCTAGGACTCTGGCACAGAATGCATTAAATCAACAGGTGAATTTTAAGAGTTGACATTTTAATAATAAATTTTCTAGTCCATGACCATATCATGCTTTGCCTATTTATCTCTATCCTCTTTAATTTCAACAACATTTTGTAGTTTTTATTATATGTTACTTTTTTCAAGTTTATCAGTAATTATGTTACTTTTTGATATTATTGTCAGTGGATTCATTTGCTTTTTGATTGTTTCTTATGGTATAAGAAATATAACTTATTTTTATATTTTAGTCTCATATTTTGAAATGCAGCCATGTCTCTGAAAAGTGTGAGAGAGGTATGCTTCTCTTTTACCTTATCTTGGAGGAAGATGCTGTTTGTATCACAGTGGCTTTGTAGTATAGTTTCAAATTGGGAATTGTTATACCCGCTGACATGTCTCTGTTGCCTAGGATGGCTTTTGCTATTCTAGGTCTCTTCTGGTTCCAAATGAATTTTTGGATTCTTTTTTCTAGTTCTGTGAAATATAGTGTTGGAATTTCAATTGGCACTGCATCAAATCTGTATAGCAGTTTTAGTAGTATGGCCATTTTCACTATGTTGATTCTTCCTACCCACGTGCAGAGGACATCTTTCCATTTTCTTGTGATTTGTTTCTTTTCTCTTACTGCTTGTAGTATTATGTTCTTCTGTTGGGTTTCTGGGATCTTGATTATTATATGTCTAGGTGTACATTTTTTTGATTGTAGCTAGTTGGGGTCCTATATGCCTCAGTTATCTGAATGTCAAATTCTTCCCCTCTGTTTGGGAAGTTTTCTGTCATTAATTCTGTGAACAGCTTTTTAAAGTCATTTGTATTTTCTCCTACTACTTCATGTATTCCTATCGGTCTTATGTTATTCTTTTTTGCATCATCTAGGAGTTGTTGGATCAATTTCTCATGATCCCTTAGTGTTTTTAAGAGACCTCTCTTTTCATGGTCACTTACTGCAATCTTATCTTCTATACCTGAGAGTCTATCTTCGCATTCTTTTATTCTGTTGTGTACACTTTCAATGGAGTGTTTAATGTTCTGGATATCTGTTTGAATCTGTTTTATGGATTCCATTTCTTTCCTGTGTTGGGCATTTATTTTTTCCATTTCTTTCTTATGCTGGGCCTTCATGGCTTCTATCGTGGTTCTGAGCTCATCTATTTTTTTTTGTCAGTTTCTGCTCTAGAGTCTCGAATCACGACTTCCATTTTGCTTACTATCTCTATGTTTATCTGGGAAATTATTTCTACTTTGAATTTTTCTAGAGCCTGATTGATCTGTTTTGTTACTTCCTGTGCTTTGAGTTTAGGGTGTCCTGGTGGTTCACGATCGGCCTTTTCATCCTCATTTGCCCTATTGTTTGCCAGTGGTGAACTGGAAGTCTGTCTTTGTGTCTTGCTTAAGTGTTTTCTCATTTTTATTTTTGTTGTCGGGCTATCCTTGGTTTAATCTCTGGGTTATCATCCAAATCTTCCTGATATAGTTGTGCCCTAGCTTCTGTGTCTCTAACGACCCACAGACATTCTCATCTTCATAACATCAGAGAAAACAGCTCATCAAATCAACCACAATGCTTTACCCCAACTGATACAATCAGCAACACATTAAGATCAAGCACAATTTGGACACTGACCACCTGTGGTAGTCACTAGTCTATCACCCTTAAATCATTTGAATTAAATTGAAATCAAGAAGCAGTCCCGAACATGTCTGCAGTGAACAAAATTTCAATATAGTGTATTTACCATTTAATGGCTCAGACAGAGTGAGGATGCAAGACCCCTGATCTCAGTTAGCTGATGGCTGAACCCCCTGATTCTGGCTGTCCTCGGGCTGCAAGGCCCAGATTGAGTTCCCCATCCTTCTGAATGGTTGAACTCCGCAATGTTCTATTACAGGTTTCCCACGCCCTTTCTTTAAAGATATTCAAAGTTGGGAACTCAGAAAAATACCCTTGATGACCGCCTCTGCCTCTGCAGAGTGGGTCCAAAGACTGGCACAGTCAGGGGGTCTGAGAGTGCCGGGGGGGTGCTTATGGGGGTTCAGTGGCACCTTGAGCGATGGCTGCTGGATCGGGAGCTGGCATGGTTCTCCTCTGGGTCTTCTTGCAGAGTATCATATCATCAGCAAATAATGACAGTTTAACTTCTTCTTTTCCTATCTTTATTGCTTTAATTTCTTTCTCTTGTCTAATTGCTGTGGCTAATGTTTCCAGAATTATACTGAAGAGAAATGGTGATAGTGGGCATCCTTGTCTTGTTCCTGATTTGGATGTGAAGATTTTCAGTTTTTGGCCATTTAATATGATGTTGGCTGTTGGTTTTTCATAGATAGCCTTTATTAAGTTGAGATATAGACCATCTATTCCAATATTTTGCAGGGTTTTTATCATGAATGGGTGTTGAATTTTGTCAAATTCTCTTTCTGCATCTATCGAGAGGATCATATGGTTTTTGTCCATCACTTTGTTGATATGGTGTATTACATTTATTGATTTACGTATGTTGAACTATCCTTGCATCACTGGAATAAATCCGACTTGGTCAGGATGTATGATCTTCTTGATGATCCTCTGTATTCTGTTTGCTAGTATCTTATTAAGGATTTTTGCATCTATATTGATTAAGGAGATTAGCCTGCAGTTCTCTTTTTTAGTTGCATCTTTCCCTGGTTTGGGAATCAAAGTGACACTTGCTTCCAGGAATGAATTTGGAAGTATAGCTTCCTTTTCAATTTCATTGAAAAGTTTGAAGAGTAATGGCAGTAGTTCTTCTCTAAATGTCTTGTAAATTTCAGTAGTGACTCCATCAGGACTTGGGCTTTTCTTTGTTGGTAAATTTTTAGATACATTTTCAATTTCAATGACTGTTATTGGGGTGTTTAAATTTTTTATCTTCTTTCAACTTTGGTAATTCTTTAGTATCTAGAAATCTGTCCATTTCATCCGTGTTTTCCATTGTATTAGAGTACAGGTTCTCAAAGTAGTTATTGACGATCCTCTGGATTTCTGTTGGATCTGTTGTGACTTCACCTTTTTCATTCCTGATTGCATGGATGTGATCCTTTTCTTTCCTTTTTCTCATAAGATTAGCTAAGGGTTTATTGATTTTATTTATTCTTCTAGAAACCAACTCTTTGTTTCATTTATTTTTTTGTATTGTTTTCTTAGTTTCTATTGCATTGATTTCTTCTCTAATCTTTATAATTTCCTCTCTTGTTTGAGCTTTGGGTTTTTCTTGCTCTTGTTTTTCAAGGAGTCTAAGAGTCATTGTTAGGTTGTTTATTTGAGTTTGCTCTGTTTTCCTAGTGTGGGCATTCAGTGCTATGAATTTTCCACATAGGGTCAATGAATTTTTAATCAATTTATTTTTGCTCTTTGGATGCTAGCAATTTCAGTCATTTCCTTTTACTTCTGCATGAATATAAATACCATTTTGCCAATTGTGTTGATATTTTCAAAGTAACATTAGTTTTTGTTAATTTCTTCAATTGTGTTTTATTTTGTATTTCATTAGATTCCAGTGTGGTTTTTAATATTTTCTTCCTTTTGTTTGCTTAGGTTCATTTGCTCTTTTTTTCTTTAATGATCTGTGGTGTTAAGTTTGATTATTAATTTGAGATCTCTTGCTCAATAGCAATAACCTTCCCTCTGAGCTTTGCTTTTTATTCATCATACACTCCTTTTATTCTCCATTTTTAAATCTCAACCAGTTTGTAAAAATCCTTTTTTATTTCTTCTTCAATCCTTTGGTTATGTATATGTGTATTTTTCAATTTCTGTATATTTGTGAACTTTCCAATTATTTATATTTGTTTTCATTGTATTCTAATTGAGAAACTTCTTCTGCATTAGTTCTACCCTGACTTCTCTTTCTTGAACAGCATGATTGGTTATAGCACCAGACTAAAGCCTTATCTGTGCAAAGTGCCTGTTCTAATAATGCACAAACGAAGGAGCCATCAGGGTGTTCAGTCCTCCTCCTCTGATCGATGCAGATGTGGCCATTGATGACACTGCCATCGTGGTGACCCTGTGTGATGTGCCCTTGCTCAGGCAGTAGCCTGCAGCCCAAAGAAAGGTGACAGAAGGAGTAGCTCCACATGAGCACTCTGCTAACTTACAACCTGAGTGGTGTATAACTGTAATTGCCAGGTAAACATTTTCACTGTTTCTTCTTTGTCTTTCTACTACAGTACTTTTTCCATTTCTTACACCAGTGTTGGAAGCATTAAATATCTCTATGTTTCCAAGAGATGTCACAGATTTTTTAAAAATATCTGTTGAAAGGATGAAAGAAAGTCGCCTCAAAGAGAAACAAAAGGTAAAGTTTGATGGTAGTTACATATGGGTGTTTCACTTATTGATAATTGATTAGAATATATCTATATGATTTATTCTTTCTTTCCTCCCCTTCCTTCCTCCTTCATTCCTCTCTTCCTTCTGATTATATTTCTTTCTGATTCTCCTTTTCTCTTTTTTTCACTTTTCCCCTCTCCCTCTCACTCACCTCCTTTCCTCTTATTTATCCCCCAGCACATTTTTTATTTTGAGAAGAATTTCACTAAATCACTAAATTTCCCAGAGTCAGCTCAAGTTTGCAACCCCTCTGACCTCATCTTCCCAAAGTGCTGTGTTTTTTGTTTGTTTGTTTATTTTTTGTTTTTGTTTTGGTACCAGGGATTGAACTATAAACCAAAGTGCTGGGTTTACAGATGTTCACCACCATGCCTAGCTTATGTGTATGATTTCTACACATTTCTGTATTATCTTATGCCATATACAGGAACCTAATAGCCTAGATGATTGTAAATACTATATGTCATAAATATAAGATAAAATTAATAATATCAACAAGAATGAAAATGAGGAAAATAAATTTAGAGGAGAAGGGAGGGACTAAAAAAGAATCAAGCTTTATTATGTACAAGTACCCACTCTCCAAGATATGATTGTAAACTGAATGTGCTGCAAACATGTACTAATACAAAATAAACACATAAAGTTACATGGTGATCTCTAGAGAAACCAAGCTCTCATATTTTAGGGAGATTGCAGAGTGAGACAGAGATAAAGAATTTAAAATTAAATAATAGGCACAAAAATACTAGTTTATTGTGGTATGCATATTGTTGAGATAAACTCTTTACAAAAGTCCAGCAAAAGGAAACCTTGCACACTGTTGGAAGGAAGGTAAATTATAAGAGTCATTATATGCATCAGTTTGTGAATGGATAAAGAAATTGTGGTACATTTACAAGATGATATACTAGTTAGCATTAAAAACAGTAAAATCCTGTCACTGGCAACATGGATGGAATGGAAGATTGTTGAGTTAAGTGAATTAAGCCACCCACATTCATATGTATGATATAAGAAATGTTGACCTCATAGAAGTTGAGGGTAGAATGATGGTCACCAGAGGACAGGAAGAGTAGAGGGAGGGTGAAAAATATTGATCTTTGAGTACTATGTTAGGTTAGGTAAGAGTCAGAAATTCTCATGTACTATGGTACAGTAGACTGGCTACAGATAAATATACTGAACTACATATTAGCTAGAAGAAAGGATTTTGACAGTTTTCACCATAAACTATGAATATTTGAGGAGATAGGTATGTTTAACCTTATGTAAATATTATGCAATGTATACTTATATTAAAATATGTAAGATATTATCAAAGACCCCTATAGTAAGCCTGGATCTCTTATGAGACACTACAGGGTCCCTGAGATAGGAAAAAGAGAAAAAAGATACAGAAACAACTGTGTCTTGGGCTGATCTAAGCTGCTCTGTGCAGCAAAGACAAAAGGCACCAAGGACATCTAGTGTTTCTTCTTCTTTTTTATTTTCATTAAGTTTATTGGTACATTCTTCTTTTTTTATGGTCATGAATCATTTTTATTTTTAAAGTCTTTACCATTTGACAAGGTTGTTTGTATGGTACCAGTGACGTTTTAGGCAACACTTTCCCTGCCTTAAAGTAACAGGCTTATTTTGTTGATTTCTTCTATAGGTTGATAATACTGATACTTTTTAGTAAAAACTGTTTATTTCCTTACTTGAATGAATGGTTTTAATTTATGTTATTTTTGGTTTGATATAATTTTAAAATTATAAATGTAAAAAACTCACACTAATCTTTAAATTAATCTCCCACTATATCATTAAATAATAATAATGGGCTATGCCTTTATATTTAGACATTAGAAATTAAATAGCAAATATATATTTTTTTTCCAGCTTTAATTGAGTTTATTGGTACATTTTCGGGATACAGTACAGTTACATTCATTATTGGGATCTTGTACCTCTACATGACAGGTCTTGATTCTCATTTTTTCCCCTCGTCCCTGCCCTCCCTTCACCCCTTCTTCCCCTCCCCATCTACAAGCACTTTATTTCCATCTTTTGTTTATCTCACATTTTTTTCTTTTCCCTTATTACCCTTCCCCTATCCATCCCACCTTCCCTATACCTTTAGCCCCTTTCTTACCATTTCACCAAGTCAGTAGTGACCATCCTCAGTGGAGGAAAGATAGCCTCTTTAATAAATGGTGTTGGAAAAACTGTATCTCAACCTGCCACAGATTAAAACTGGACCCTTAATCTTTCACCATGCACTAAATTAAAATCCAAGTGAATTAAAGGTCTAAATATTAGAACAGAAACATTAAACTTGCTGGAAGGTAAGTTAGGCAGAACTCTCGAAGACATTGGCATAAGAAAACTTTCTGAAGAAATCCTCAGTAGCATGAGAACTAGCAGATAGAATCAACAACTAGGATCTCATCTTATTAAAAAGCTTCTGTACTGCAAAAGAAACCATCAGCAGAACTAAGAGACAACCTACAATGTGGGAAAAAATTTTTACCAGCTGATCCTCAGACAAAGGACTATTATCAAGAATATATAAAGAACTCAAAACAATCAACCCTCCCAATATAAAGACCCAATTCAAAAATGGGCATCTGAAATGAACAGATATTTCTCAGACAAAGAAGTAAAAGCAGCAAGTAAATATATGAAAAAAATGTTCCACATCACTGGTCATTCGAGAGATGCAGATGAAAACAACACTGAGATTCCACCTCACCCCACAAAGAATGGCTGCTATCAAGAAATCACACAATAACAAATGTTAGTGGGGTTGAGGGGAGAAAGGAAACCTTCTCCATTGTTGGTGGGAGTGCAGACTGATGCAACCACTATGAAAATCAACATGGATATACTTCAAAGAGCTTGGACTGGATGTTCCATTTGACCCAGCCATCCCTCTGCTGGGTATCTTTCCAAAAGAACTGAAAGAATCATATCACAGTGATGTATGTGCACCCATGTTTATAGTGGCACAGTTTGTAATGGCTAAAACTTGGAAACAGCCCATTTGCCCATCCGTTGGAAACTGGATAAAGAGGTTGTGGTTTTTCTATAAAATGGAATATTACTCAGCCATAAAGAACAAGAAAATAGATTCATTCATAGGAAAATGGATACATATTGAAGATATACTCCTAAGTGAAATAAATAAGTCACACATGTGTAAATACCGAATAGTTTCTCTGGTGTGAATAAACTGCAATAATACATAGTGTTTCTTCTTTACAAGTGTGGGAAGCAGCAGAACTGGGCAGGCCTCAGGACACCTGCTGATAACAGTATCACAAGTAGGGGCATTAGTATATCTTTTGCAGAAGAGAACAAATGGTTAATTCATATGTGAAGAATTTAATTGCAGTCAGTTGACCTTGGCTGGAAGTGAATTCAGCCAAGTCCTATTACTTTTAATGTAGTAATAGCCAAATGATGGAGGAGTAAGAAATTAGTGCCACATATAGCCTGTTAATACTGGACAGGAATGTCTGCTCTCAAAACACATGAAGCCTCATTTGTAAGTACAGTTTTCACATTTATCTGTATGTTAAAAAGAAACTAAGAATATCAACAAAAATTTACCATATTCTATTCCCTCAATGGATAAAAATTCTATTTATACCTTCATTTCCCAGGCGCTTTACTTTCAGATCTTATAAAGAATCATTTTATGTTTCATATTATCTAATTAAAGGTCCTTTTCGGCTACCTGATGCAGTTTGTTCTCTGTTAAATTTGATCCCACCATAACCTTTAGTGGCCATGGGAATTCTCTGTGTTTCACAGCTTTGCCTCAAGTGGGCTGTACACCACCACAGGAATGTCTTTAGTCAGGGAGGTATGACTGAGTATCACTAAAAATTACATTGCATTCCAGGATGGTGGTCTATTTCAAGATGGGTCCCTAAAACCTGCTGATGAGTTCTAGAAACAATAGATTAATCTATGAGCCACTGTTTAAGAGTTAAGCTAGGGGAACAAAAGATTAGCATCCTGGACTTCATCCTGACTAAGTAGGTGTGAGAGGAGAAGGAACTGCCAGTCTCCTGCCAGGAATTTGTGTTCAGGAAGCATATAAATCAGAATGGGGGAGTTCAGACACTGAATGCTATTGGACACAATATCTGGTTTTCACTCAGAAAAATCCTGTTCTCCAAAGTTTGTAGATCAATGTTGTTTTGTTATTTTTTTTTTTTTTTTTGCTTTTTTTGGTCACCAATCACACAGGCAACCTCAGCAAAAGTTTCATAGCTTCAGAAGGAAGTTATGCATAGTACTGTACTGATGTACTTCTGCGTTCGTGATTGATCTTCTGGCTTTGAAATTTCTCTTTCTGTTTCTAGCACCGAGTGGATTTTCTTCAGCTGATGATAAACTCCCAAAATTCCAAAGACGCAGAGTCTCATAAAGGTAAGTAAGAATGCCCCAAAGGCTAATGATAGAGAATCCAAGAGAACTGTCATTATTCTAGAAATGTACATGAGGGTTTACAAACAGTGACAAGTTTCTGGATGATTGCAGAAAGACACAATTGGATATTATACGCAGTAGTCAGAGGCACAATCTAGGAGCATGTACAGTAACATTCAAATATTGAAGTGAATGTACACAGGCATTTCATGCCTGGATAGCATCAGTGGACTTGGGGGGTCACCCATATCAGAATAAATGCTGGTTATCCACTACATCCAGACCCACTGAACCAGAATCGCTGTATGGGAATTTGTGCCAATGCATCTAATAAGAAGGGTTAGTCTCTAAACAGTGGTGATGTTCGCTGTGAATACACAGTGGAAGTGTTCATTAGCTTAATTTGCTGTAAAGTGTTTAATTTTCCTCTTGAAATTAATAAGTACCTTTTGAGGAAACCCTTTGGAACTGTGTTAATACCTTCCTCTTTATAATTTCATCTATCAGCTTTATCATTTGTGGATGGTTTCTGAGGAAAATCATTATTGCTATGCTTGTTATAAAATCATACATTTCTAACTCTCATTTCTTGCATCGTAATAGGTTAGTTTTTCAGTGTAGGTCAATATGCCCTTCTTTCTTTCTTTCTTTCTTTCTTTCTTTCTTTCTTTCTTTCTTTCTTTCCTTTCTTTCTTTCTTGCCTTCTTGCTTCTCTTTCTTCCTTTCCTTCATTCTCTCATCTTCCTTTTCTCCCCTCTCTTTTCTTCCCCTTCTTTTCTTTACTTGCCTACCCCATCCTTCCTTCCCCCTCCCTAATTCCCTTCTCTTTCCTTCCCTCCTCCCACCATGCCCCTTCTATCTCCTTCTCCTCTCCCCTACACCCTTTCCTTTCATTTCTTCTGTCTTCTTTCCTATATTTTTCAATGTCTTTCTTTTGTTTAAATAATGTTATGTAATAAACTTATTTTATTTTCATTACTGTTTATTTTGATGCTCAAATTCTGATAGGTTTGTTCACTGGAAGCCCTTTCAATTGGGCTTATGAATCCTTTCTAATTCTTTTCGTTTTTGTTGGTTATTTTTAAAGTAATCTTTTAGAGAACAAAATGTGCGGACTAGGTGTGATTACTTGATAGTCCCTTCCCATCAAATATTTCCCTATATAGCATTTTTCAGTGACATAATTTCACTTTGATCAATTTGAAGCTACAATGGTGTGACAACAATCTGATAAAATTCCTGAAATTGCAGTTCGTTCCAAAGTAAAAAGGACTGACTCCAACACAACCAAGTAAATGTATCTATGTCTACAAATATATCAAACTATTTATTCTCATCTATTTTTCTAGGTCACTATTGAACTATTGAACATTATTGAAGGAAATAGTCTATAGTTTCATTGTTCAATATAGTAACCACCAAAAGTATATGGGACATTTGATATGTGGCAAGTGACACTAAAGAACTAAAAGTATAAATTGTATTCCATTTTAATTAAAATATACATATTCTTGTGGGACTGGTGGTTAACACAGTGGATATCAGTGTTCTAAATGTTGATTTTATAATTAAATTTCAATTCATTTTTTGAAATTCATGCTTGCTGGAAGAAATGCATTTTAGTGGAATTTTCTACAGTATCATTACAAAACCCATTATTACCATCAGTAAAAGAGAATCCTGTAGACATTTCAAGCTTTCATTTTTTAATATATTTAGACTTGAATTTTATGATTGGAGCAGGTGAAGTGTTTATTTCAAGGCTTTGCAGATGTACATTTCCTAATCCATTCCCTGATCACAGAGACCGATGCCTACCTGTACTTAGCATCTCTCAGGAGAGATTCAAGAGGGAGAACAACACCTATCACAAGGGCTACTGTGAGATTAAGTAGAGCAGAAAGAGTATGCATATGCTAAAAAGAAGACATCTGGGCCATGATTGAATAGTATTATTAATTTTGCTCAACACACCCTAAGTTTTCTCATATTTCATACCCAATGTCTTTCTATTCAAACATTCTTTCTTTTGCTACTCTAACACCATTCATTACATTAGGGTCAGTCATCACTATTCTACCTGCTTTATTTCTCTGTGGTTTCTGTACAAGAGAGGTGCCCCAGGTGTTCTTTTACTTGATGCTTCTGAAAAGTTATTTTTTGAGTTAGGTTGTAGATACAAGTCACCACATTTTGAGAAAGTTCAAATTTTAGTAAGGTAAATTTTAGGTGGGTTTGAGATTCAGTGTTTCCAATCGGGTTCACATGCAGCTGATCCTGAGTGTCTGTGGACCACACACTGAGTATCAGCAGTTTCACTTATATCCAAAATTGTTCCTAAAATTCCCTAAGATATATTCAGGAGAAAGGTCCTTTAATTTCACCCACAGTGATTACTTAGTATCTAAAATCTTTCAAAGTGTTTCCAGATGTTTTTAATTAAGATGATTTAAATTTTTTCTGAAAGAGAGTGTTATCACATTTTTACACATACAAACTGGTTTTGTCATTATCCAAGGGGCACACTACTTAAACTTTGTATATTACACAGAAATAATTTCTGTTGAAATTACTCAGCTAGGTTGTTGGTGTAGTTGGCATAATGAGGAGCAAATGATCAAAACCCTGTAGATCTTGAGAAATTGAATTGAAATTATTCTTCCTTTTCAGTCCCTGTTAGATAGATGTTTTTAAAAGAGGAAACCACTCCCTGTGAGACTCTCAATTGCTTTTTCATTTTTTATCTGAGTATTTGTGAGTTATATTGGGTTGTTCTCCATCAAAATTGTGATGTTATACATCAACTGGCTTTCCCTAAAATTCATTTCCTCTCCCATCAGCTCTTACTGATCTGGAGATTGTGGCCCAATCAATTATCTTTATTTTTGGTGGCTATGAAACTACTAGCAGTGCTCTTTCTTTTGTTATGTATGAATTGGCCACTCATCCTGATGTCCAGAAGAAATTGCAGCAGGAGATTGATACAATTTTGCCCAATAAGGTGAGTGGATGATATTTAGAGAGGAAGGGAAGCATAAAAGTTATAATAATAACCTTTTAATCAGTGTCTTGGCTACATTCTCATTGTTGGGACAAAACACTCAACACCCACTAGTTATGTTGCAGGAGGAATTGGTAGGAGACACACACAGAGATGCAGAATGGAAGTAAAATAAGAAAAAGTTTATTTTGTCAACAAAAGGCCAATCACACCCAAAAGCCGTGCCAGACATAGACCCCTAACTGTCTTATGGCTCTCTCTTTCATAGGGCTTTACAGCCTTGATCTCATTCAGGTGGTTACATTTCATTCCCGCAGTTCACATTGCCAGTATACAAATCATGGTCAGAAGAAAGTTAACTTTCAAACCAGATGTAGTAATTCTTTGTAGTTAGGGGTGTTTACCTTTAAGAATCACCTAGCTATCTATCCTAGCCCATAGGAAGGGGGTGTCCAGGGTCAAGAAAGCAAATGTTAACAATGGTTCTTTTCATCTTGATGCTTTTACGATCATGTGGTTTACAGAAATTCAGAGCTCAGGGTCTTGATGTGCCCCTGTTATCTCAGGATAAGACCAGATGACTCATTCAATGGTTAATGCCTCTGGTGTCTGTTAATTCTGAACTCAACAAAGCAAACTGCTGTTAGAGACAGTAGAAGCCATTCTACATTGTGACATTTTGTAGGTTTTTCTATTTACAAGAATTTTCTCTATCAGTTAAAGGATAAAGTGCTTATTTCAGCTTACAGTTTGTAGAGGTTTCAATTCATAGTCAGATGGCAAACTCCACAGCAAGGTGGCATGGCAGAGGAGAAACAGTCCATGGCAGGATAGGCAGGAGGCAATGAACAGCAGCAGAAGCAAGCTTCCTTTTCCCTTTTATAACATACAGGTTACAATAATTTTGGAAAGTGCCACCCACACCCAGGGTGGGCCTTCCCACTACCCACACCCAAAACAATGCTAAACCACTCAGTAGACAAATTTAGTACCACACACCTTTAATCCTAGCATAATACACCATAAATCCATCCAGCTCTGAAAAGCCCCACCTATCTGTGTATGAGGCTTTGGGAACATCTAGTTACAAGTCATAATATTCCTCTCCTGGACCCCCATGCACATCCATTTATGCAAAAGACATTTAGTCCATCACTAAGACTTACTAAAGTCCTAACAGCCTCATTATTGCTGTAAAGTACTAGTTAAAAATCTCCTCTGAGACCTGTCATGTGAAGGTACAGGATCCCAGTAAGGAATGTAACTGTATTGTAGACCAAGATTGTACCAATAAACTCAATAAAAAGAAAAAAAATTTTTAAATCTCCTCTGAGATATAAGGCAAAGTTTTATCTGGAAGCTCTCATGCAAATGAAAAGAAAGTTAAATACTTCCAATATACAATGGCACAATATAAACATTCTCATTCCAAATATGGGGACAGAAAAGATTAAAACCAAAAGCTGATCTTTCACCATGCACTAAACTAAAATCCAAGTGGATTAAAGATCTAAATAATTTAAAAAGAGACACTAAATTTACTGGAAGATAAGTTAGGCAGAACTCTTGAAGACATTGGCATAGGAAAAGACTTTATGAACAAATCCTCAGTAGCATGGGAACTAGCACAAAGAATCAACAACTGGGATCTTATCTTATTAAAAAGCTTCTGCACTGCAAAAGAAACCATCAGCAGAACTAAGAGACAACCTACAATGTGGGAAAAAATTTTTACCAGCTGATCCTCAGACAAAGGACTATTATATAGAATATATAAAGAACTCAGTAAATATATGAAAAAATGTTCCACATCACTGGTCATTCCAGAGATGCAGATGAAAACAACACTGAGATTCCACCTCACCCACAAAGAATGGCTGCTATCAAGAAATCACGCAATAACAAATGTTGGTGGGGTTGTGGGGAGAAAGGAACCCTTCTCCATTGTTGGTGGGAGTGCAGACTGGTGCAACCACTATGGAAATAAATATGGAGATACCTCAGAGAACTAGGATTAGAGGTTTCATTTGACCAGCCATCCCTCTGCTGGGTATCTTTCCAAAGAATTTAAAGAATCATATCACAGTGATATATGTGCACTCATGTTTATTAGCAGCACAGTTTGTAATAGCTAAAACTTGGAATTGCCCAATTGCCCATCAGTTGGAGACTGGATAAAGAAGATGCGTTTTTTTCTATAAATGGGAATACTACTGAGCCATAAAGAATGAGAAAGTAGAGGCATTCATAGGAAAATGGATGTATATTGAGGTCATACTTTTAAGTGAAATAAATAAGTCACACATGTGTAAACACTGAATAGTTTCTCTGATGTGAAAAACTATAATTGTAAATGAGATCCTAATAGTATAATTGACAATGTGAAATAGGAAGAAAAGGGCTAAAGGTGTAGGGAAAATTGGAAGGGTAGGGGAAAGGTAATAAGCAAAATATATATATATGAGAAAATGAAAGAATGGAAATAAAATTGTTGTAAATGGGGAGGGAAGGGGGGAGTGAATGGAGCACAGGGACAAGGGGAAAAAATAAGAACCGAGACCTGTCATGTAAAGGTACAAGATCCCAGTGATGAATGTAACTGTACTGTATCCCTAAAATGTATCAATCAACTCAATGAGATAGAAAAAAAATAGTGGGACAGAAAAAAAAATAAAACCAAAGTGCAAGGACAGACCCATTATCTTTTTAAAGGGTAGAAAATACAGGCTCTGTGTGGCTATGAGTAGCAAGCAATTTTCAAGCAGCTTTATAGTTTGAAGCTGACAGCTTGTGGTTTTGACATCTGCTTCTGTGCAGGCAACACTTTCCTTCCCACTGCAAGTTGCCAAGCCTATACAAATTCCCCTATTAGTGCACAAGACCAAATCCCTAGCAAGAAGTCCAGTATCCAGTCAATCAAGTGTTGACCCTTAGAGCAGTGAGTATAGGCCTTGTACCCCATAGAACAGGATTGTAGCCCCAGATTTGATCTGAGCATCCCTACCCTTTCACCAGAGTGTCTTTGTAGCACTTCCTTCAATCCTATAATAAAAATGCTTTCATTTTTTCACTGGTCTTCTCTGACTCGTCTTTCTCTTTCTTTGTAGCAGAGAGAGGTAGCCCTGGCAAGCATGAGTCTGGTGACCTTTAGTCCCCAGACCAATTGAATGTAACAAAAGGAAGTCCAAAATCCAGCAGAGCAAACATTAAATGCTGCGGTTCCATGTGTAATGTCGGGTGCAATCTGTTACAAGATGTGAACTCCAAAAGTATTATGCCCCTGTGGTACTGCTGGTGGTTGTAGCTCTCATGGCTTCTCCCTTGGGCCAGCCTTGCTCATTCCTTGTGGTTCTCTTCAGAGGATCCACATTCCTGCCATCTCTAATCTCCTGGGGTCTTCTCTGAACTTTCAATTTCACACTCAGTTTCACATATTGCCCTCTCAGGGCTACACTGTATGACCTTACAGGCCATCTTCTGAAACCTGGATGAAACAAACTCTTTCACCTTTCAAATATTGAGGCTGCAAATGGTGGAGTGCTTCTGATTCTTTTGATATCTTCAGGGAACATTTTCTATTATTTAATTCCAAAGTACTTGGATTTTGATGCTAACTATTTCAGCATCAAAGTTCTTCTTTGCTACTTCTCTTCAGTCTGTACCTTTTCTGGAATTTCCGTTCAGACCAAATGCAAAACTTTTAAAGTTGTTGTGCTAGACTCTTTGTTCTTGATTCTCAGCATAGATCTGGTTAGAAGTCCCCAACAGCTGACATGCTTCATCATTAGATTACCTTGAATTTTTTGCCAGATTAATTAGTCTGCCACACTTAACTTCAGTCTCAGGCAAAGTCTCTGGACAGGAGCAAAATACAGGCACATTTTCATCCAGGGAATAAAACACATGATCTGGAGTCCAGCTGCCAATGGAGTCACTTCCAAATGAAGCCTTTTGAGCCCGGTCTTTTCCAGCTGCATGTCTATATTCTGGTCTTCTGAGCTCTGATCAGAATCTCCCATCAGACTCAGCTCACTGCATGCTAGGGCTGCTTCTTCAACCAGCATCTCTAAACCTTCCCATAGTACTCCTACAAGCCAGTTCCAAAGGCTCCTAAACCACATGATCAGGTAGTTGCACTGCAAAGATCTCACTTTTCTGATACCAAAATCTATCTTGGTTACTTTCTTCTTCGTGTGAAAAAATACTTAACACCCACAAATTAAAGGCTGAAAAGCTTATCTCAGCTCACAGTTTGTAGAGATTTCAGTCCATATCCAGATGGCTCCATATCCAGAGGGTAGTATGGCAGAGAAGAAACAGTCCAAGGCAGTGGAGGCAAGAGGCAGTGAGCAGCAGCAGCCAAAGCAAGCCTGCTTTACTATACAAACTATAAGCTTTTTCAGTGCTGCACCATACACCCAGGGTGGACCTTTCTATTGCTCACATCCAGAACTATGCTAAACTACTCAGTGGACTAATTTAGTACCACACACTCTTAATCTGAGCATCACACATCCTAAATGCAGCAAACTTGTGAAAGTACCATCTCTCTGTGCATGAGACTTTTGGGAGGACATCTAGATACAAGGCACAACAATTACTCTCTAGGAGAGTTTTTCACAAAATCTTAAGCATTGTCATCACCAGCTCTATAAATAGATGATATGCAGAGAGAAATGCAGAAGAAAATACATGTCATGGATGCTATTCACAGAAATAAAAGCTCTTCATTAAAGTGTGTCAATTCTGTTGTATTCATTATCTGTTATGATAATAACACCTAGTAGGAAACATCCACAAGATCTCTAGAATTATGAGCATTTTCAGTCAAGTTTCTGATTAGTTGACTCTACTGATATTGTTGGACATGGTTTGACCTGGCTGTAGGCCGAGTGAGGCTGCACTTGGCTGGGATGGGTAGGATGACTCAGCCCTGTACACAAATCCTTGTGTATCACTTGTAGAGCTAGAAGTGAAGAATCTAAATTGTGAACCAGAGTGTGGATAGCACTTAACCTATAAAATAAGGCCTCTCCATTGTCACAACAACAGATAGCCACATAGCTCCATATGTTTTCATCTCTCTGCAACTATTATTTTGTGGTGCATGAAGGCTTTGGGCTGACATGGGTGATTAGACAGAGAGGGGGGCACAAAGCATCTTATATCAGGTCACAATGAAGTCCTGAGGCACCAAGCACAAGACTGGTCTGTCCGCAGAGATTTGGGCTGAGTGTGGGTTCCAGGCTCCTTAGAATTTTAAATGGAGCTAAAATTGTGTGCCCTCATGGTACCCAGTTGTAATCTTTTATTACATTGGGAAAGTAGGTACTAGTTATCCCCCAAATTATTTAGACAGTTTTATAGATGACATAGTGCTGTTAATTTTTACATATGAGGAAAAGGGTAACCATGTTATTCTTATATGCTATAGTGTTCCTCAAGTCTCTTTCAATATAATCAAAAGCAATCCTATGGGAATTTTCAAGTAGGAACAAGGACTTTGCATTTTGTATCTTCTGTTTAGTTAATAGAGATATGCAGCCTCTCTGTTAAAAGACAACAGTGATGTCACCATATTTTCCTTGAGTGGAACTGTCATAATCTATTTGTCATGTTTTTCCCACATGAGAAAGAAAAGCAGTACCTGTTAATGCTGAGAATTTCATGGTCTGGGCTATGATATGCCTCAAAGGTCTCCCATATGCATAACTACTGTACATCTCTGAGTAGGCCATTAAGCAGATGAAAGAAAGTGATGTAACTGCTCTTCCAGTGTTGAGGTCCTTTACCAACATGAGTTATTCTTTGGACTTCCTAACACTTTACTGGTACTGCATAGGCTGAGTTGAAAGACAATACCAAAATATAATCCATGTACATCCATTTTTTCCCAGACACCTGCCACCTATGAAGCCCTAGCACAGATGGAGTACCTGGATATGGTGGTGAATGAAACACTCAGATTATACCCAATTACTGGAAGACTTGAGAGGGCTTGTAAGAAAGATGTTAAAATCAATGAAGTGGTCATTCCCAAAGGGTCACTGGTGCTGATACCAATCTATGCCCTTCATCGAGATCCCAAATACTGGAAAGATCCTGAAGAGTTCCACCCTGAAAGGTAAATGGCCCTTGGGAAAATAAATTCACCCTGATACAGTCTTTCTGAGTATGCCATAATGTCTCTTACTGGACAGGAACTTCATTTTTGTGTTGAAAGATTAATTTTTTTGGCACAGACTTATGTCAACAAGATTGGAAACTCCTGTAGGGGAAGGTGAATAGAAAAGATCTGTACCTTGCAAATCTCATAGCAAAAGCACAGTTGGTTTTCATGTCCATCTAAAATCTTCTGTATACAACTGCTTGGGAGTTGAGGGTGTCCGTGACAATCTAACCAGTAAATATTGTGATATTTAAGTTTGATTGACTTTTTTCATTTACTACAATGTAACCAGGTTCAGTAAGAAGAACAAGGGCAACATTGATCCTTACATATACATGCCTTTTGGGGCTGGACCCAGGAACTGCATTGGCATGAGGTTTGCTCTCATGAACATGAAACTTGCTCTCATCAGAGTCTTACAAAACTTCTCCTTCCAAACTTGTAAGGAAACACAGGTAAGGCCAATCTTTCTGTACAAATAATGATTTCCCAAGATTTTTTTTTTTTTTACTAAACCCAGGGTACCTTTTATTTTTTTATTTTGGGGTTGGTTTTTTTTTGAGTCAGGGTCTCACTATGTAGTTGAGACTGACCTGGAACTCACTATGTAGCCCAGGCTGGTCTTGAACTCACAGTCATCCTCCTGCCTCAACCTCATGAGTGCTGGGATAACAGGTGTGCACCACCACACCCAGCCCCAGGGTACCTTTTAAATGTTTGCACATTCTTTATTCCTTTGCTGTATGGGCCAAAAATCTCTTTTGGAGCCATCTATACAATTTTAGGATCTTTTGGTTTTGGAGTTTTTAACATGTGGCTTTATGAAGACAAAGTGTAAAGTATCTTCTAAACTCTGAAGGTTAGCATGGATATGTGGTCTCTATTTGTTTGTTTGTTTTTATTTTTTGAGACAGGGTCTCACTATATAGTTGAGACTGACCTGTAACTCACTATGTGGTCTCAAACTCACAGTGATCCTCCTGCCTCAGCCTCCTGAGTGCTGGGATTAGAGGCGTGCACCATGATGCCTGACTCAATATGTGGTCTCTTTGTACTTGAGGAATGCTTAGATTCAATTTTAAGTCACTTGCAATTGGGACATATTGTGCACAATTATAAAGGGCAATGTTTATGTTCTCATGTTTGAATGGTGCCCTCCTTACCAGAGTTTAGAGAAACTCCCTTGTGACGGCGGTCTATTTCTGGGACTCGTGCATATGAAGATGCAGCTCCTCTCTGGCTGTAGGATTTCTGCTTGGGAGAGAGAATAAAGTTGGTTTTCATGTTACTTGAGGCTTCAAGCCAGCTGTTTAGCTGCTCTGAAAGTGTAGATAATGGGCCTTAACCCCGAGATTTAGGGCATTCTGGCAAACCTGGAATGAGGTAGATACTTGTCATAAGCTCCCATTCTTCTCAGGTAATATTTGTCACACTTCATGAGGATTTGCTTCCTTTCCTGAAATCAGAAGGTTACTATGTTGGAGGCTCACAAAAATCGAACAACATGACCAATGGGAATTGGGTAAAGAATTAATTAAAAAATTATAGGACTCAAAAGTTCCCCATTTATATAGCATTCAAAGCCAAGAAGAAATGTCAGAAACACAAAGCAGAGCATAACTGTCCTGAAGGCCCTTACCAGCATCAAACTGAATCAGTTTAAATAACAAAATTGGCTAGACTCTAGGAGTGGAGGACTGCCCATATAGTTGAAATATGCAATATCTGCTCAGGATTCCCTTATAATTTTCAACAAACACCAAGTTAACTTCCTATGGATTTCACAAAATAATTTGCCACAATGTCTAAGGATCAGATTTAAATTTTTTCATTTATGGTATTTACATGAAATTATGTACATACATTTAAAAATTAACATAATTTAGTCTTAGACCTGGTACAGAACAGGTGCTCATGAAGTATTTTTTCTCATTGAGTGTACTGGTACTTTTTGGGTATACAGTAGTTACATTCATCATTGGGATCTTGTACCTTTACATGACAGGTCTTGGTTCTTATTTTTCTCCCATACCCCTAAACTCCCTTCATCTCCTCCAACCTCCCCTATTTACAAAAACTTTATTTCCATTTCTTCATTTTCTCATATTTTTTTCTTTTCCCTTATTTCCTTTCTTACCCTTCCTACATCCCCTACACCTTTAGCCCTTTTCTTCCTATTTCACATTGTCAATTATACCATTAGGACCTCATTTACAGTTATAGTTTTTCACACCAGAGAAACAATTCGGTATTTCCACGTGTGTGACTTACTTATTTCACTTAAGAGTATGACCTCAATATACATCCATTTTCCTATGAATGACTCTAATTTCTCATTCTTTATGGCTGAGTAGTATTCCATTTTATAGAAAAACCACATCTTCTTTATCCAGTCTCCAACTTATGGGCAATTGGGCTGTTTCCAAGTTTTAGCTATTACAAACTGTACCGCTATAAACATGGGTGCACATATATCACTGTAGCATTATTCTTTTAATTCTTTTGGAAAGATACCCACCAGAGGGATGGCTGGGTCAAATGGAACCTCTAATTCTAGTTCTCTGAGGTATCTCCATATTGATTTTCCATAGTGGTTGCACCAGTCGGCACTCCCACCAACAATGGAGAAGGGTTCCTTTCTCACCACAACCCCACCAACATTTGTTATTGGTTGATTTCTTGATAACAGCCATTCTTTGTGGGCTGAGGTGGAGTCTCAGTGTTGTTTTCATCTGCATCTCTGGAATGACCAGTGATGTGGAACATTTTTTCATATATTTACTTACTGCTTTTACTTTGTCTGAGAAATGTCTGTTCATTTCAGATGCCCATTTTTTTGTTATTGTTGTTGTCGGACTGTCCTTGGTTTAATCTCTGGATTATCACCCAAATCTTCCTGATATAGTTGCACCCTAGCTTCTGTGTCTCTAACGACCCACAGACATTCTCATCTTCATAACATCAGAGAAAACAGCTCATCAAATCAACCGCAATGCTTTACCCCAACTGATACAATCAGCAACACATTAAGATCAAGCATAACTTTGACACTGACCACCAGTAGTAGTCACTAGTTTATCACCCTTAAATCATTTGAATTAAATTGAAATCAAGAAGCAGTCCAGAACATGTCTGCAGTGAACAAAATTTCAATATATTTACCATTTAATGGCTCAGACAGAGTGAAGATGCAAGACCCCTGATCTCAGTTAGCTGATGGCTGAACCCCATGACGCTGACTGACCTCGGGCTGCAAGGCCCAGACTGAGTTCCCCAACCTTCTGAATGGTTGAACTCCACAACGTTCTATTACAGGTTTCCCACACCCTTTCTTTAGAGATGTTCAAAGTTGGAAACTCAGAAAAATACCCTTGATGACCACCTCTACCTCTGCAGAGTGGGTCCAAAGACTGGCACAGTCAGGAGGTCTGAGAGTGCGGGAGGGGGCTTATGGGGGTTCAGGGGTGCCCACGCGGCTAACTTCCCAGCACTTGAGTGATGGCGGCTGGGTGGGGAGCAGGCATGGTTCCTCAGATGCCCATTTTTGAAATGGGTCTTTATATTTGGGGGGTGCTGATTGTTTTGAGTTCTTTTTATATTCTGGAAAATAGTCTTTTGTCTAAGGAGCAGCTGGAAAAAAATTTTTTTCCCACATTGTAGGTTGTCTCAGTTCTGTTGATGGTTTCTTTTGCAGTGCAGAAGCTTTTTAATAAGATGAGATCCCAGTTGTTCTTTTTAAATATTTGGATCTTTAATCCACTTGGATTTTAATTTAGTGCATGGTGAAAGATAAAGGTCTAGTTTTAATCTTTGGCAGGTTGACATCCAGTTTTTCCAACACCATTTATTAAAGAGGATATCTTTTCTCCAGTGAGAATGGTTGGCTCCTTTGTCAAAGATGAGGTAGCTGAGTACATCTGGAGTTGTTTTTGTGTCTTCCAGTCTGTTCCACTGATCCTCAGATCTGTTTCTTTGCCATTACCATACTGTTTTTATCACAGTGGCTTTGCAGTATAGTTTCAAATTGGGAATTGTTATACCCACTGACATATCTCTGTTGCCTAGGATGGCTTTTGCTCTTCTAGGTCTCTTATAGTTCCAAATGAATTTTTGGATTCTTTTTTTATAGTTCTGTGAAATATAGTGTTGGAATTTCAATTGGCATTGCATTGAATCTGTATAGCAGTTTTGGTAGTATGGCCATTTTCACTATGTTGAGTTTTCCTACCCAGGAGCAGGGGATCTCTTTCCATTTTCTTATATCCTCTTTGATCTCTTTTTGCAGAGTGCTGTAGTTTCCAGTATAGAGGTCTTTTATTTCTTTTGTTAGATAGATGAATCTTTTTTTTGGATGCAATTGTGAAAGGAATTATATCCCTAATTTCTCTCTTAGTGAGTATATTATTTGTGTACAAGAAGGGTATGGTTTTTTGAGAGTTGACCTTGTATCCAGCTACTCTGCTGAAAGTGCCAGTTAAGTCTGGAAGTTTTATGGCAGAATTTTTTAGGTCTTCTATGTAGAGTATCATATCGTTGGCAAATAATGACAGTTAAAATTCTTCCTTTCCTATCTTTATTGCTTTAATTTATTTTTCTTGTCTAATTGCTGTGGTGAATGTTTCCAGAACTATATTGAAGAGGAGTAGTGATAATGTGCATCCTTGTCTTGTTCCTGATTTTAACATAAAGGTTTTCAGTTTTTGGCCATTTAATATGATGTTGGCTGTTGGTGTTTCATAGATAGCCTTTATTAAGTTGAGATATAGACAATCTATTCCAATTTTTGCAGGGTTTTTATCATGAATGGGTGTTGAATTTTGTCAAATGCCTTTTCTGCATCTATTGAAAGGATTATATGGCTTTTATCCTTGACTCTGTTGATATAATGTATTACATTTATTAATTTACATATGTTGAACCATTCTTGCATCCCTGGTATAAAGCCTACTTGGTCAGGGTGTATGATCTTGATGTCCCCCTGTATTGTTTTCCAGCCTCTTATTAGGGATTTTTGCATCTATGTTCATTAAGGAGATTGGCCTGTAGTTCTCTTTTTTAGTTGTGTCTTTCCCTGGTTTGGTAATCAAAGTAGCACTTGCTTCCAGGAATGAATTTGGAAGTATTGCTACCCTTTCAATTTCATTAAAAAGTTTAAAGAGTAGTGGCAGTAGTTCTCTAAATGTCTTGTAAAATTCAGTGGTGATACATCAGGACCTGGGCTTTTCTTTTTTTTCTGTTTTTTTTTTTTTTTTTTTTTTTTTTTTTTTTTGTCGGGGAACATTGAGACAGAGTCTCACTATGTAGTTGAGTCTGACCTGGAACTCACTATGTAGCTCAGGCTGGTCTTGAACTCACAGATATCCTCCTGCCTCAGCCTCCCAAGTGCTGGGATTACAGATGTACACCACCATGCCTGTCTAACCTGGGCTTTTTTTGTTGGTAAATTTTAATTACATTTTCAATTTCACTGACTGTAATTGGGGTGTTTAGAATTTTTTATCTTCTTCATTCAACTTTCATAATTCATAAGTATCTAGAAATCTGTCCATTTGTTCTGTGTTTTCCATTTTATTAGAGTACAGATTCTCAAAGTAGTTATTGATGATCCTCTGGATTTCTGTTGGATTTGTTGTGACTTCACCTTTTTCATTCCTAATTGCACAGATCTGAGCCTTTTCTTTCTTTTTTTGACAAGGTTAGCTAAGGGTTTATCAATTTTATTTATTTTTCTTTCAAAAAACCAACTCTTCAATTCATTGATTTTTTTGTATCATTTTCTTAGTTTCAATTGCATTGATTGATGCTCTAGTCTTTATAATTTCCTCTCTTTTATGAGCTTTGGGTTTCTCTTGCTCTTCTTTTTCTAGGCATCTAAGATTCATCATTAGGTTTTTTATTTGAGCTCACTCTATTTTCCTGGTGTGGGTATTCACTGCTATGAATTTTCCATGTAGAACTGCTTTTATAGTTTCCCATAGATTCCTGTATGTTGTATTGGAATTATCATTTTTGTAAAAACTGACCAATTTTTTCTTTAATTTCCTCTGTGACCCATTGATTGTTCAGCAGAGTGTTGCTCAATTTCCATGTTTTTGTGAAGTTCCTATGGTTTCTTATGCTATTGATCTCTGGCTTGATTGCACTATTCTCTGATAATATATGTGGGATAAGTTTGATTCCTTTGCATTTATTCAGACCTGTTCTATGAGATAGTATGTGGTCTAACTTGGAGAATGTCCCATGTGCAGCCAAAAAGAATGTATATTCTGATTTTGTGGGGTGGAATGCCCTATAGACATCTATTAAGTCCATTTGTTCAAAAGCTTTGTTGAGTTCTATATTTTGTTGTTGATTTTTTGCCTAGATGATCTGCCTATTTGTGATAGTGGGGTATTTAGATCCCCAGTACAATTGTATTAGTGCTTATTTGGTTTTTTGTGTTACTTAATATTTGTTTTATATAGTTGGGGGCATTAATATAGTTTGGTGCATATATATATTTATGATTGTCATCTCTTCCTCTTGAATTGTTCCCTTTACAAGGATGTAATGGCCTTCTTTGTCTCTCTTAATCAGTTTTGGTTTGAAATTTACTTTGTCTGTGAATAAGATAGCTACCCCTGATTTTTTTCTTGGCTCCTGTCACAAGGAGAACTGTTTTCTATCCTTTCACTTTCAGTCTATGGGCTTCTTTTGCACTAGGTGTGTTTCTCGTATGCAATATATTGTTGGATTTTGCTTCTTAATCCATTTTGCCAGTCTATTTCTCTTGATTGGCTAGTTGAGGCCATTGACATTGATGATTATAACTGATATGTGCTGACTTATTATTGTCATGTTATTGTCCTTATGTTGGATCTTTGTAATTTCTTCCCCTCCCCCTTTAGTTTCTTGCCTTGCCTAATTGATTTGCTCATTTGGGCCTCATGGTGTTGTGACCTTCATTGTTTTTTTCTAGGATATTGTTTAGAATTCCTTGTAGTGCTAGTTTGGTATCCATAAAGTTTCACAGGTGTTCTTTGTCATGGAAGTATCTTATTTCCTCATCCATTTTGAAAGAGAGTTTTGCAGGATACATCAGTATAGGTTGGAGGTTGTTTTCTTTTAGGACTTGAAATACTTCACTCCAGGCTCTCCTTGACCTGAGGATTTGTGTTGAAAAGTTTCCTGTGATTCTGATGGGCTTTCCTTTGCATGTGATTTGTTTCTTTTCTCTTACTGCTTGTAGTAATTTTTTCTTCTCTTGTGTTTCTGGGATCTTGATTATTATGTGTCTAGGTGTAAATTTTTTTATCATGGCTGGTTGGAGTCCTATATGCCTCATTTATGTGTATGTGAAATTCTTCCCCTCTGTTTGCGAAGTTTTCTGTTGTTAATTCTGTGAACAGCTTTTTTTAAGTCATTTGTATTTTCTCTTGCTACTTTATAGATTCCTATCAGTCTTATGTTATTCTTCTTTGCATCATCTAGGAGTTGTTGGATCGATCTCTCATGATCCCTTACTGATTTTGAGATCTCTTTTTACAGTCACTGACTGCAATCCTATCTTCTATATCTGAGATTCTATCTTCACATTCATTTATCTCACTGTGAAAACTTTCAGTAGAGTTTTTAATCTCCTGGATATCTGTTCGAATCTGTTTCATGACTTCCATTTCTTTCCTATGTTGGGCATTCATGGTTTCCATTTTTACACTGGGCCTTCATGGCTTCTATCATGTTTTTTGTTTTTGTTTTTTTTTTTTTTTTTTTTTGCTTTTTTTTTGTCAGTTTCTCTTCTGGTGTCTCTAATCACGTCTTTCATGTTGCTCACCATCTCTGTAGTTATCTGGGAAATTATTTCTGTTTTAAATTTTTCTAGAGCCTGGTTGATCTATTTTGTTGCTTCCTGTGGTATGAGTTCAGGGTGTCCTGATGGTTCACTGTCAGACTTTTCATCCTCATTTGCCCTAGAGTTAGCCATTGGTGAACTGGAAGTCTGTCTTTGTGTCTTGCTTGCATTTTCTCATTTTTATTCTTGTTGTTAGGTTGTCCTTGGTTTAATTCCTGGGTTATTAATTAAATCTTTCCAATATAGTTTTGCTTTAGCTTTTGAGTCTCTTATGACTGATAGACATTCTCATTTTTGTAGTATCAGAAAGGACAACTCATTAAATCAACCATAGTTCTTTAGCCCAAATGATATAATCAGCAACACAATAGGATCAAGCACAGCTAACAAATTGACCATTTGTGGTAGTCAGTAATCTATCACCCTTAAACCATGTGAATTAAATAAAGATCAAGGAGCAACCCAAAATACGTTTACAGTGAATAAACTCTTCAAAATAGCATCGTTACCCTTTAGGATGGGGGCTTAGACAGAGTTAGGACAAGAGGAGTAGATAGGTAGAAGAATTGGAGAATGTTTCAAGTGAAGCCATAGGACACAGGATGACCACACAAACTTTAGGAAACTGTTGAAGAGAAGAGGGAAAAGCAAAGTGCAAGAATAAGGACAAGAATATAACAACTTGACAGTAATAAGGGCTCACTTTCCTTTGAAACTATTGACCCTTGAGTGAAGGAAAATGCGAGAAGAGAAGAAAATAAAGAGAGAAGATAAAAAAATAATAGAAGAGATTTGAGTTAGGGCAGGAACAGAACAGGAAGGGAGATGGAGAATAATATGGGGAACAAGAGGCTGAGTTTGAAAACGAAGACAGAAAAGAGAATTTGCAGAATGAAACAAGGAAAAGAAAGAAGAAAATAATTTGAAGGGCTTCTTTCAGACTATATCTTTCCTGTCACAATGGACAATGTGCACAGCCATGGCAGAGCTAAGTCATTTAGTCTCAGCTAGCTGATGGCTGACACCTGAGATTCAGGCTGAATTCAGGCTGCAAGGCCCAAGTTGAGCTTCCTGACCTCCTGCAGGGTTAAACTCTGCAATTCTACTGCTGGTTCCCTCTGTCCTTTTTCTGAAGATAGTCAAAGTTCTGATGGAAGGTGGTGATCTCTCCAACTTACCATCTATGGAGATCTGATGTGCCTTTGTTGCAGTTGTTCACTTCTGTTCTATCTTCTGGAGCTCAGAAAAATGAACTTTATGATCACCTGTGCCTCTTCAGAGTGGATCCAAGAACTGGCACAATCAGGAGGCCTGAGAGCATGGTGGGGTAGATATTTCAGAAGCACCCACATAGCCAACCAGTCCTCACCAGTTGGCCTGATGCAGGCCAGAGCAAGGACAGGATCTCTGCATGGCTGACCCGAACCTCCTCCCCTTCCACTGTAATCAGGTGGGGCAAGGGTGGAACGAGGGCAGGACCACTGGGCAGCCAACCAGTCCTCACCAGTTGGCTTGATGCAGGGATCTCTGCACAGCTCATGAAGTGTTTTTTAATGAACAGATGGATTAATGTTTTCATTATTTGAAAACTTGATACATTTTATATAATATAATGAATTCAAGGTATATATACTTAAGGCAATTTCAATGTATTTGTAATGTATTTCATTACTATCTTTGCTGTACATTTTCCATTTTATTGTTATTGATCCAACATTGATCATTTCCCAAATGTTTGTCTTACTGTTGCAGATCCCTATAACATTTAGCAAACAAGGACTTCTTCAACCTGAGAAAGCGGTTCTTTTGAAGGTTGTGTCAAGAGAAGAGACCTTAAGTGGAGCGTAATTTTTCCTACAATCTTCTGCTGTGTTTTGTTCTTCATGGAGGCTGTGTCATAGAACACTAGTGACCAATTTAAATAATTTAGAAATGAAAATGTACTGAATCTTCTCCACTTGATGAATGATTGAAATTCTGGACTTTCACTGTGATTGCTCACTGTGTGTGGAGTATTACCTACTGTATCAGATTAGTGGGAAATAGGCAGACACACCATCCCTGGGTCATGTGATGACCTATCCACCCACACAGGGGCAGAGGGATGGGAAGTGGTGTTCATGGGGGCCACCCACCCCCCAAGACAGGCTGAGCTACAGACCTAAGAGCCTAAGGTCATTGAGGCTCTCTCCCATGATCCTGCCTCAGGCCAGACTGTGCTGAGTGCCTGCTAAAACCTAGACTCTGTTTTGAAAGGGCCTTGGACTCTAGAACATCCTAGCTCAATCTGGGGCTACAGTCTCACCCCATATTGCTGAAACTGTGCCTTTGCTGGTTGTGACTGCAGCACAGTAGGCTTTGTAGAATCTAGAGCACTTCCCAGATGCTGCTCACTAAGGGCAAGGCTTATGAGAATGCAGGACAGACCTCTCCCAAGTGCGCTGTGCCAAGGCCCAGGGCCTTTGGAAACAAATGGATTGATTCCAGAGGATATAGCAAGTCTGTCCTCCAGGCTTCTCTATCCTTCCCTTTTCTCTGGCCTATAGGCTACCATCAGCCCACCCTGAGCTGCACTTGTGTGGCTTTACTTCCTGAGTCTCCCTAGGCCCCAGTCTTCATTTTTTTGCAAGAAGAGGGTCCCAGATACAGTTCCCCTCCCAACCAAAATGGTTCAGCAAGTGTGAGATGGCTTATAGTGCAACCATAGAAGTGGTGAGCATCACTGCTGACTGTCTGGACTGATGGTTGCTGTGGGTGTCTGGCCAACTGGAGAAAACAGCCGTGTCTACCCTTAGTGAGCTTTTGTGGAGCACAGTTCAAAGGTGCCCTCCTATGTCTCTCTCCAAGGTTACCAGCTGGCCATTCTCATCTCTTCCTGGGGAGGACACAGGCATGGTGGATGAGGATGAATTTCTAGAACATGGACTGGTCTCTGGACAGTGTGTTCTTTCATTCCACATGCGCAGGGTTGAATGTGATGCTTGGGCCACGTCCTTCCCCATTCTTTCTGAAGCACATGATTTTTTCCCTTCCAGGACACATGGGACCAGCTGCTCCTCTGGTAAAACATTCTTTTTCCTCCTCTCTGAGGCTGGCTTTGCCTGGCCTGTCCACCCAGAAAAGTACACACAACAACAAGGCCCAGCAGCTGCTGGGGCAGTGAGAGGACCCTAGGTATTAAGGGATACCCTGGCAGATCTCTGGGTTCCCAGAGCCCACCCACACCCTGCTGGCTGTGTTCTGGAGCCAAGTGTCTTAGCACTGGGTCTAGGAGTGATGCTGACCATGCCCCTCTTTGTTGTCCTTATGGTTGGTTAACTGACTTACTGATTGTGTGAAATGATCCCCCCAGCTCATAGGCCTTCAGCTTATTCTTGTCCAGGATTTTTGTTCATGGCCCTGTGAATGATGACTGGAAGGTTATCCTGGTTTGTCACCTGGATCAAGGCACGGAGAGCCCAGCAGAGCATGGGTTCTGGAGTGGCTCCCCAGCATGCAGTGACCCTCAGCACTGAGCACAGCAATTAACAGTGAAACCAGGGCCACTTCACCCTCTCTTGCTCCACAGTATTGGTGTCCATGGAATAAAGGGCTCTTTTTCCCATAGCCCCATTCTCCTATAACAGCATGCCCTCTCCTCTTATGCCACCTTGGGGAGCCACTTGCTCCCAAGGACCACAGGATCTGGGAACAGACATCTCAGCTCTCAGGAGGAGCCAGCACATGCCCAGTGGTTTCCTCCACACCGGGCCACCCTGCACTGGAGGCTGTAGTGGTTAATGGCATAGCCAGAACGCTGGATGCCTGGACCCTTGAGGGCCAGAGTACAGGTGGGTCCCAAACCCAGGATCATTCAGGCATGTGCCCCTGCCAGCCACACTAGCACCTGAAGCTAGACTAGCTTGGTGCAGGGTGGTGTGTAGTGAGCATGTGACCTTGTGTGGGGGTGCAGATGGCTCATCAGCAGGCAGAGCCATGGAGAAAGTGAGGGGTTGTCTCCTATGCCCATACACATTCTTTGAACATCCCTGCCAGCTCCATGTTCAAATGACACACAGACTTCACAGCTACCAGCACTGCAGCCCCTTTCTCCTGGCCTGGCCTGCAATGCCAGGCTTGTCAGCAGCCCCTATTCCTCTCTGGCAACAGTCCACCCTCACAGAGAGGCTCAATGTTATTCTGCCCTCCATTGCCCCAGGTTCTGTGTCCCTCTATGAGAAAGTCAGAGGCCATGCAGTGAAGCATGGGCCCTAGACATTTCCCTGACCTCATGGTCCCCAGCCCCTGCTTTTCCACCTCAGGCCTCTTCCTTGTCCCATCCAGAGGCCCCAATCCTCATGGCCCTGGGCATATGGATCCCCTCTCTCACCCCAGGTCAGACTTTTAGTACTGATCTCTGTCTTCTTTCTTCCTATCTGTCCACCTTGACCCAATAGAAGGCCTACTCTAGGAGATCAGGAGTGCTACACAGTGTTCAGCACAGGATTGCCTGGCTAAGTGAGGCAACAGTCGCCCCCTGCTGGCTGTAGAGTGACAGCTAGGAGCTGTGGCTGCAGCCACTAACAGGGTGCTGGTGGATGCGTGGTAGACAGTGACAGTGAGGACACCCTGCTGGAGGCCAAGCTGATGCTGGAGATCCCTGGGGAGACTTGGGAAGACAACACTGAGTTCAGTAGGATGGTGATACCCTGCAGGGCACCCCAGCCTGGTAGCCAGCTCTCTGACTGCTAGAAGCTGTGTTCAGGGGCCAGGTTTCTTGTCCACTCTTGTGGTTGCAGAGTGGGGGAGGCTGGCCACAGGAACGAAGAGAAGAAGAATGGGTGGGAACCTTCTTCTCCTGGCCACTGGGGGGTCTAGGACAGAGCCCATGCTGATCCCTTCCAGTTAGTAGCTGGAGGAACTACCTAAGTACATGCTGAGCACACTGGACATGTCTTCCTGCTGAGGTCTGGGCTGCACCTGAGCTGGTCACAGGACATGGAATGGAGCTGCTGCTGGTCTTGAGCTTGGTGCCAGAGCTGGATGCAAGAGCCTGTGTGCCTGAGGGGCCTCCCCAAGGACACAGCCCATGTCTGGAACCCTGCAGTCTGTGCTCAAGGAGCCATGCTAGATGCTGCGTCAGGCATCTGAGGAACCATTCAGAACCACTCATTTTGAAGCAGGATTTAAAGAAAAACAAGTTCTTCTCAGTCTTGGGCAGCTCCCCGCCTCCATCTTCCCTCTTCCCCTTGTAGCTATAACTCCTTGTTCTGGTACAGATAAGGGGACAGAAATAAGAACCAAGACATATCATGTAAAGGCACAAGATCCCAATGATAAATGTAACTGTATTCTTTGCTTTAAACGTACCAATAAACTTAATGGGGAAAAAACTGACAACTATGCCCTGTAAACAAAGTGATGACACCCTGTTCTCTTATGATTCACAAGACACTGTCTTCTCACAAGGCTAAATTACAAAACTATCTGCCCTTGTCCTATTCTGGTAAACTTACTTGCTACATCTAGAAAGACTAGAAAGACCCCCCCCCCGTTGACCAATGCATAAAAACCAGAACTTCTCTTTGTTTACCACTCTTCCTTTGGACAGGAGTCCATTAAGCCAATATCCACCTAAAACCTAAAATAAATCCTCCTGATTCCCATTGGTCTCTCCTGTCTCTTGGAATTCTGCAACATTTCCATAGAGGAGGAAAATGAGGCCTGAAGCATAGAGATGAGTCATCACAGTTCCAACGCTGGTCAGCAAAGAAGTAAGAGAAGCACACAGCCTGTCTGGCACCCAAGCCCACACTCAGCACTGAAGGTTCTGTGGCCTCTGCCTGCCCTGGGCCAGGCACTACTCACTCCTGTGCTTGGCAGTGGCTCTGTGCTCTTTCTGCTCTGGAGGATGCAGCTGGCTGAACCTGTTGGGGACCCATAGCAAAAGACAAATTGTAGCAAAAACAGTGGTGACCGTGAAGCTAGCAAAAGCCATATTACAGCCTCCCTCCAGGATTGTCCCAGAGAGCTGGAGGCCAGGTGCCCAGCTGTCCCCAGGCAATGGGCTTGAGAGAGACCATAGGATCAGGCAAAGGCTCTCTCTCTGGAGCTGTCCTCAGTTCCCCACAGCCTCACTGAGAAGATCTCTGCCCTGAAACCCAGCCCTGAAATGCTCCTCAGGTACACTGCTGTCATTGCTGCAAGTCAATTACACCAGCTTGGCCTGCCATGAGATCAAATTCCTGCTACTGTAGGAAGGATGGTGACAGACCTGGAGGATTCTGGGTAACAGGGACCTGCTGCTGCTTCTTTGCTTCCCTTCCCCTCACCTCCACATAGGCCCTTCCCAGTTAGGTCCAAACAGCCACTCACAGGAAGCTGTCATGGACCCCACTTCTTACCCCCTCCATGGGGACAGCCTCTTGTGTCTGTACCAAATCTCCCCATAAGTCAAGAGGAAGGTGTGGAGTCAAGTGTCCTACCCAGGCAGGTTCCCCCAACCCATGAGGGTAGTAGCTACTCGTCTTCTTTTCAGAAAGTTGGTCAGTTCTCACAGACAGCAGACAGCCAGTGTCCATCAGAAAGTGACCTTGACAACGGAGGCCTGCAGTCTCATGCTGCATCACCAGAGCTCCTAGACTAGCAGGACACTGGACACCAGGGAAGGGGAACCTGGGATGTGGCTCAGGGACCTTTTGTCCAACCTTCTGAGGACAGAAACTTCTGGTGAGAAGGCCCTGCTCAGCGACCATGGGCTGCCTCACCCTCCATACCATAGCCACTGTCAAGGACACACTGTGGCCACTTTAGCTCAACCCTCTATGGGTCCACAGTCAGGCAGCCCTGGGGGTCACCAGGTAGGAATGTACAGAACTGTACATGCAATTCCACGCATGCTGAGAACTCAAGGGTCAGCAAGACTTTGTCCTCCAGCCTCAGGACTAAGCTCTGCAAGCATAGTCCCCTGCCTGCTGTCCCTGTTCCACTCACACACAGATGCTCCCTTATGGCAGCATCCTAGATCACCAGGTCACTTTGGAATGTGCTCAGATAGAGGAGAGTGACCTGGATGATTCCCTGTGGCATCAGGTGGGGTGATAAGCAAGCCCCAGAGCCCCTGCCAGAGGATTCTCAGCCTGGCCCTGGCCCCTCCTGGGCCCCTCCGGTGAAGCAACCTGGAGACCTTCAGCTACCTCTCCTGAGTCCCTTTCCTGACCCCCATGACCTTCAAGCTGCCTCTGGTCACCTCCCAGGCTGGTTTTATGAACCCTTCCCACATCTCTCCCCCAAACACTGCCGAGTGCTGGCTCTGGTGACACATTCTTGTCCTCCATGATGCCAGCTGGTCAAAACATGGATCTGGACAGGATCCAGAGGGCTCACTCTAATGGAGCATTTCAGGCAGTGAGGCAATAGCTAAAGCTGGAGGAGCCCCTCTTCTCCTGCTGCTAGAAGTCCCTGCTCCTCCCTGGCCTCAGGACAGTCACCACCACCTTGTATGGCTGTCTCTAGCTCTCTTGGATTTCACCTCCAATGGCAACTTGGCCCTTCCTGCCAGAGTTGATAGAGGCAGCAGTGAGGCCTTAGTCTGTCACCTCACCCTTCAGAGTCCTGAGCTTGGGTCTGTGGGCTGGTGCCCAGGCTCATACCACCCCTGGCATGTAGACTCTAGATCAGATTGCTGATCCCACATTCAGTGGTAGGGGACCCTGGACTTAGTTTGGCCTCACAGCACCTATTTGTTTATTTACAAAGTGGGGCCAGGACTATGCCTGCCTTGCAGGGACAGAAAGGATTCAGGGTCAGGTTCCTGCCATCAGTGTTGCCCACCCTAGCCTCGGCAGTGGAGCACGGCTCATAAATCCTGCACATTCCAATTCTCAGTGGGCCTCATCAGCAGGGAGGTCAGCACTGCAGGCTGCATCCACCCCACATCTACCAGATGCAAACACTGAGGCCCAGAGAGGGGCAGCGACTTGCCCAGGGTGCCACAGGGACTCAGAGGAGAGCAGACCTGTAGCCCCACTGGCCAATGACCTTGGTCTTGTCTGCTGCCTCTCAATGTGTGCCAGGGTCCCCAGCTGTGCTGAGCTACAAGGTGAGTGAGACAAGATGTCTCTGTCTCCACCTTGCTCTCATATCCTAGGATTCTGTCCCTATGAGGCCCAAGGGCTAGCCAAAGGCTACCTATCTCCAAGAAGCCCCTCCTTGCCTACAGGGAACTCTGCCTTTGTTCTCTTGGGACTGAGAGTTCCCCAGGAGCCATCTGTGACCAGTGCACCAGGGGTGGGCAGTGACAACCTGCTTCCTCTCTTTTGCAGAGCCCTCTGCGGTTGGTCAGCGGAATCCATCCTGAGGTCATCAGGCCTGATGATCTTACGCCACTGGGGCTCACACCATGGCTCCCAGAGGCATGGGTGCCTCCCTTGGGTTCCCTTGAGCCATCAGTGACTCTGCTGTAGACAAAGCACAGAGCCACAGGTGCACCCACATCTGCCCTCCCCCCAGTCCAGATTTCCTTCTTCTTCCATTTTGTATTAGTACATGTTTGTGATACATAATGAATGCATTCGCTGTGGGAGACTGGTACAAATTTGTATCAGTTTGATCCTTTTTACTTCCCCTTCCACTCCCCATTCCCCCATCTCCCTCCATCCCCAGATTCCCTTTCCATCTCCACAAAGTCAATCTCCCTGTTTCTTATCCTCTATCTTCTATTTTCACTTCTAAATTACTTATAGTTCAGGTTTCTCATTTAAGAGAATCTGTGCAATACTTAACCTTCTGTGTATCATTTATTTCACTTAGCATTATGGTCTCAAGGTGTATCCATTTTCTTACAAATTTTCTAGTTGTCCTTCTTATGGCTGAGTAGTATTCCATTTTATATATAAACCACATTTTCTTTATCCATTTATCTGTTGATGGACATAGAGGCTGCTTCCAAGATTTAGGTATTATGTTGCTATAAACATAAGTATGCACATATCACTGAAATATGTCTTTAACTTTTGGAAAGATAGCCAGAAGAGATACAGGTGGTCAAACAGAATGTTTTTTAGTTGTCTGAGAGATCTCCATACTGATTTCCATAATGGTTGCACTAGTTTACATTCCCACTCCCATCATCAATGGAGAAGTATTCCTCCCATTCCCCCCACCACACACAACACACACACACAATCTCTCCAGGATTTGCTTTTTGAGTTCTGGATGATGGCCATTCTTTCTGGAGTAAGATGGAATCTCTGAGTTTTGACTAGTGTTTCTCTAGTGGTCAAAGATGTGGAATATTTTTTTCACACATGTATTGCCCATTTGTATTTTTTCTGAGAAACATCTATTCATGTCACTTGTCCATTTTTATTGGTTTTTTATTCTGATAGGGTTTAATTTATTTCCTTCTACAGTATATTCTAAATATGAGTTCTCTAAGGAGTATCTGGTAAAAAAAATTTTGCCCATTCTGCAGGCTGTGTCTTCACTCCATTATTTACCTTGCTGTTCAGGAGATTTTTAACTTAAAATAGTTCCATTTGTTGATTGTTGATGTCACCAACCATATGCACAAGTGGAGAACTCATTTCATCCTAAGGATGTCAGCTCAGTGAGAAAGGGTGGCTGGGATCATGAGTTTAGACCATTTCTCAGCTTTACTGCTTATGCAGGTCACTCCTGCTGGGGGATGGGGACAGAAAGGGTCAAGGCCACTACTGCATTCACTCACTAGGACACATGAGGGCTTCATGACAACATTCATTAGAAAATGGGATGATGAGCCCTATTTCTCCACATTGGATAGAGTAAAAATGGCTAAGTGCTACTCCTGTTTCCTTTTATTTACTGACACTCTGCAAGAGAAACTATTGGGTTTTTTTAAAAGAATCTCTATACTGATATAGAGATTCTTTAAAAATAACATTATAAACATGGATGTACATATACCACTGTAGTATCCTGCTTTTAATTTGGGAAGATACCCAGAAGAGGAATAGCTATGTCAAATGGGACCTCTAATCCTAGTTATTTTAGGAATCTCCTCACTGATTTCCACAGTGGTTGCACCAGTCTACATTCCAAACAACAGTGGAAAAGGGATCCTTTTCCCCACTGCACCACCAGCATTTGTTATTGGTTGATTTCTTGAGAGCAGCCATTCTTTCTAGAGTGAGATGGAATCTCAATGTTGTTTTAATTTGTGTTTCTCAAATAACCAGTGATGTTGAGCATTTTCTATACATTTATTTGCCAGTTGTATTTCTTCATCTGAGAAATATCTACTCAATTCAGATTCCACTTTGGGATTGGGTCTTTACATTTTGGGGATCTGATTTTTTTTTAATTATTTGTATATACTAGATATTAGTCTTTTGTCTAAGGAGTAACTGATAAAAAAAAAAACTTTTTTCCATTCTGTGGGTTCACTCTTCACTTTGTTGGTGGTTTTCTTTTGCTGTGCAAGCTTTTGAATTCAATGTGATCCCAGTTGTTGATTCTTTGTAATATTTCTTGTATGATTGCAGTTTTGTTCATAAAGTCTTTGCCTACGCCTATGTCTTCCAGAGTTTTACCTAGTCTCAAGTTTTGGTTTTGGTTTGGGTTTTGGGTTTTTTGGCAGTACAATGCTGTTTTTATCATGGTAGCTTTGTAATATAATTTCAAGTCAAAGACTATGATGTCTCCTGCTTTTATTTTGTTGCCCAGAATTGCTTTTACTATTCTAGGTCTCTTCTGGTTCCAAATGATTTTAGGATTGTTTTCTATAGTTCTTTGTGGTATGCTATTGGTATTTTGATTGGGATTGCATTAAATCTGTGCAACAGTTTTGGAAGTATGGCCATTTTTACTACATTGGTTTTGCTTATCCAAGAACAAGTATGTCTTTTCATTTTCCTGTATCCTTTTCAATCTCCTTTTTCAAAGACTGTAGTTTTCAATGTAAAGATCCTTTAATTCCTTAGATTGATTTCTAGGTATTTCATTTTCTGGATGTGATTATGAAAGGGGTTGTTTCCCTAATTTCTCTCTCAGTGAGTTGTCTGTGTACAGGAAAGTTATTGATTTTTGACTGTTCATTTTGTATCCTGTTATACTACTAAATTTGGTTATTAGTCTAGCAGTTTTTTGGGGGGGTTTTGGGGGTCTTCTATGTAAAGTATCATGCATCTGCAAATAATGATAATTTAACTTCTACCTTTCCTATCCTTATTCCTTTTGTTTCTTCCCCTTGTCTAATTGCTCTGGCTAATGTTTCCAGGATTACACTGAACAGGAGAGGTGATATTGGGTACCCTTGTCTTGTTGCTGATTTTAGAATGAAACCTTTCAGTTTTGGACCATTTAGCATGATGTTGGCTATTGGTTTGTTATAGATGGATTTTGTCAGATTGTGATAAAAATCATCTATTCCAATTTTCTGTAGTTTTTTTATCATGAATGATGGTTGAACTTTATCAATTTTTTTTCTGTATCTATTAAGATGATTGTTGTGGCTTGTATTTAAATGTCCTCCCAAAACCTCATGATTTTCTAGAGGTGTTTGAATCTATGTGTGATTGATTCATGGTGGGGCTAGGCCCAAAGGTATTAGGATTAAGGGTGTGAATGCTACCTGCCCTTAGTAGTCTGAATAAGAGAAAAGAGGTAGTAAAACACTGGTAAGGTCCTCACTTTTGTCCCTTAATTGGATGCCTCCTCATCTGAAATCTCACCTGTGCCCAGCAGCCTTCTGAGTGCTCTCCCTTATCTGCAAAGGTGACCATGTTCCTCCTCCACCAACTGACAAACTTCAGTGCCCTTATAATACGTAATAAACCATACCCCAGCTCTCGTATCTGTTTTAGAGTTCTTCCTTACAATTGGACTTGCTTTTGGGGATTCCCTCCTCCAGACCCATGTCCTAGCAACTCTGTTCCCAAGATGCCCTCCAGGCTGCTTCCTGCACACAACCTCATGTTCATGCCAGACCTCCCCTTACCTCCCTGTGTGTGTCGGGCTCCCTTTTGACACTATCTATTACTAAAGGCAGTGGCTGCATTTTCCAAGCAAGTCATCCAGTGTTTGGATGTCGCCCGCAAAGTCTCATGCAATCACAAGAGGGGCTATTTCAGAGGTGGCTTGGATCTAGAGTGTGTGACACTGGAGTTGATTCATGGTGCAATGCTAGGATCAAGGGCACTAGGATTAAGAGTGTGAGTGTTATTTACCCTAAGCAGCTGGATAAGATATAAGGGATAGAAAGAGCTATAGTTATCCCTTGCTTTTTTGCTGCGTTCTGCCCTCCATGAACTGTTTCTCCTCAAGACTGTCACACCACTCTGCCTTATGGCCAGCCAATTAGACCAAAACCTCTTCAGACTGTGAGCTAAATAAACCTTTCCTCCTCTAACTTTAGGTGTCAGGTATCTTGTCTCAGCAACAAAAAAAGTAACTGGGACATCCAATGAATGTCTGTGGGAGACAGGAATACTTTTTAAAGCAGGGGAAGAGACTCCAAGTAAGTATTTGCAGGGTTCAGAACCTGGGTAGGCTTGAAAGTCCACTTCTATTTATTGTCTGAATGACTTCAAACCAGGTTTTCTGGTACATTAGAGGAAACAGGACAGGTCATGCCCATCTACTCTAGCTGTTAGGAAGAGTAAATGAAATCAGGCATAAAAAGTTCTTAGCTCATCTCCACCAAGATGAGTTCTTTTCTCACCCTTACTATACAACCTCAGCCCAAAAATATCACACCAACACAGCTCATTAGAGTAAGTGAATCCTGTTTATCCAATCCACTGGAAGAACAGAACTAAAGGTCAACTCTTGACGAAACCCAAACTCTGCTCCCACCTGGGAGGTACCATGTCACTTCCTTCTCTTACTTCTTTGAGTGGCAGAACTTCTGGATCTCTTCTGCCAGTGCCAGGCAATGTAGGATGCGTTTCTTTTCAGCAGCCAGCTCCTTCTCGGAGACTTGGCCCAACAGTTTCTGGACAAATATATTTTGGTCTTTCAAGAAAATGTTCTTATTGATTCCCACATTTGGCACATTCTCCAGGGACCCAGATTTGAAATGGAAACTTAAATATCGGTTTCGTTTTAGACCAGGTCCTTTCTCTTCAATCCATGACAGTGGGCTGCAAAGACAAAAGAATCATAACGATCAGTTGTCACACGCAGGTACAAATGAGTGCTTGCTGCCACTTTGGACCTCACTTTGTGCCCATCTTTCTGGTAGCTGTGACTCATTGTGGTGGCCTGGTGGCATTCTGATGCCTGCCACTTCCCTATGTCCAGGAGTGACTTTCTCCAAAACTTAACTGTGCAACAATCCTTTATTTTTACCATCACTCAAAGAAATTTATAGAATTATGTTTGTGCCATCACCAGTTTGGTATTCAGAACTTTTTATCCTGCATCTTAAGAGTCCCTTAGGGGAAATATAAGTGGACCAGAGGCAATGGAGGAATCACCTGAGATGGTATATAAAGCACTATTTTTGTGAGTGTGTGTGTGTGTTGTGTGTTTTCCTAGAGTTCTTTTTATCAGATTCTTAAGAAGGCTCTACCAGAAAATACCCACTGCTGGTCAACACAGGAGCTCCTTTTCCATTTCAGGTTTTCCCTTCAAGCACACATTAGCACTCATACAAACCTAAAATCCACGCAGGATAACTTCCCTTATCTACAGTCCTTTCCTTTGGTTGTTTCTTTCTTTATAGCAGATAACAGCTGATATCTGCTTATGAGAAGCTGTAAAATTTTCTCCTAAGTAGATTTTGACCTAATATAAAGAGCTTCCTTGAATGTTATGAGAGAAAAAATATAAAATCTGCTTTTGTGATTGATTGATTGATATTGATTTTGCAATTCTAGGACTCAAAACTAGCACTTTACCGATAGCCAAGTGCTTGACCACTAAACTACATTCTCAGTCTCGCTCCTCTAAATGTATTCTAAAAATTTTATAGAATTAACAACTTTTTTTTTTTTTTTTTTTTTTCCCGGG